GGTCATAGTTATTTAACTTTGACACTATAAATTACATTTCAAGAATTGGTAGGCGGTATGATATTTTGCAACATTTGTTTCGTATTTATTAAATTCAACTCAATCCTGCAAAATTATTGGTAAAATAAGTTTTATATATTTCTGATATACTATAATTTTGTGTTATCTTCGGAAAACTCTCTCTCATATGGATGATTAAACTTCTTTCAGAGTCAGATTATATATTTATAGGATTTTCCATATAAGTATCTACAAAATGATAATGAATTATTTGTGTTTATGATTTTGAATTTAAATCACATAAATCATTATCTCTTTCATCATTATTTAATTACGATTTTGAATTTCAATCATAAACTATTATCTCTTTTATCATTATTTAATCATGATGAATTAGTTAATAGATTGTCCAAAAATATTATTCAATCTTTACTAATGATTATCTCATATAATAGATTATATTTTAATAAAATTAATTATATTTTTCTTATTCAATTTTACAAAATATTATGTCAATTTTTAAACAACTCCTAAACAAATATAATTATGATAATATTTAATTATACATGACTCTCAAATGAAAGCAATAACACTTTCTTTTTATGATTAGATTTTCTTAAATCAACACGTGATAAATGATGCATTTTGTTGTAAGTTAGTCAATAAAATTTTGGTGAGTCCAATGGAACTGAAATAATTATTATAGTAGTTCTAGACTTAGTTCATTTATATATTATATTTCTTTTTAAATTTTAATCTGACCTAAAAATCTTAAAATCCTTATATCAATAATATTTGACAGGCATACATAGATTAACAACTTGTCGTAGAATAAAAAAAAGTTTAATTAGAAAGATAATTAAAAATAAAAAAATATTAGGAAAAGTTTGAACTATAATCAAGGAACATTTATATTTTTTTGAATATTTTTTTAAATTAAAATTTAATTTTAAAAATTATATTAATTATCAAGTAAAAAAAATATAAAAACTACATAAATTTAAATAAAACTGAATTTAAATTTATTAAATATTATGTCACATTTGAGTTTTATAAATTAAAAAATATTCTTACTAAAAATAATAAATTATGTACATACAATTTTTCTTTAATAATAAATTTAATAATTATATATAATTATCACCTAAAAATTTATACTAATAACTTATAATTTTAAAATAATATAAAATTATGCATAAATGTTCAATTTATATTTTATTTTATTTTATAATATTTTAATTTAATTATTATGTTGTGTTATACAACTATAATATTTATATCTAATAAATTAAGAAAAATGTTATTAATCTAAAATAGAGTAAAAATATGAAATGTGACTATTAATAAATTGTTATTGATATTAATAATTATATATTATTTATATACTATATATTATACATAAGATGTATTATGTTATATAAATTAAAGAGCATGTTATGTTTAGCTTCTAAAGTAGGACCATTCTAATTAAAATACTTTTTAAAAAAAAAAATTTGACTTTTTCAATAAATATATATATATATATATATATATATATTATTTATTTATTTATTTATTTAGTAAACCGACACTGATATAAGTACTTAACTCCTAAAAAATTGTTTTCTTTTAGTTTTAATCCACGTTAAATTTTAAAACAATAATTTTCTATTATGAAAAATAAATAAATATATCGTTTATATATAACATAGTTTTCAACATTTAGTTAAAAAAAAATAAGACCGTTGTTTTCAAAATTTTGAGAGGAACTATTTATTATTTTATTAAAAAAACTGTTTTATTAAAAAAATATAAAAAAAGGAAGTGAGTCATGTGTAACTCACTTCCTATGTTTAAAAACTAATAAATTTAAAATAAATTTTTTAATAAAATATTTAAAAATTAAATAAATTTAAATTCAAACATTTAAAATAAAATTTTAAAATTTTTCATAAAAATATATTAATGGTGGAATATAAAGTTTGAATGATTTAAGAATATTTTCCTTTTCATTTTAGTTATAAATTTTTTAATTATTTTTTTATATATTAATTTTTACGTAGAATTTATCAATTTTATATCCAATAATAATTTTTAAAATAAGATCTATATTTCTTTCTTTTTAAAATCTTTTAAATCAAAATTATTTAATACAGATTCTGTTAGTGGTAATTCTAAAATAAACACATATTTCTAAACAAAATTACTTTTACTTAGTAAGTGATTAAACTTTTCTCTTTTAAATGATAAATGTTACTTATATTCTATTTTTAACTAATATAATATTTTTCAAACTACAGGTTGAAATATGTGATAAAAGAAAGTTTAGAACATTAAATATTATAAAAAAATCATTACATGAATAATATGATTCATTAATTTTTAATATAAATTTGTCTCAGCAAAAAATTGTGAAATGTGTAATCTATATAAATACGTACAAAGGAAGCAAATTACTCAAAGTCAACATTTTAATATCTATATTTTCTTTGATTTTTTTTTTTTGAAGTTTAGATAAATTTTAATTTTAGTTCTTTAAATATAAAAGAATAATTGTAGTCCTCAAAATTGAAAATAATATAATTTTAATTTTTAATTATAAATTTAAAGGATTAAAATAATTTTAAGATATTTTCAGTTCTTCAAAATTAGTTTTTACTGGATTATATTCTATTAAATTTGAGGAAAATAAATTCTTTCAATTTCAGAAACTAAAAAATTATTTAGCTACACTTTTAAAGATAAAAACATGATTATAATTATATCATTCCAATTTTTAAGTTAATTGAAAGTGTAAATATATTTATTTAATTAATAATTAAATTTAAATAAATAGTTAATAGATGAAGTACAAATAATTTATGAATAGTTAGTTTAATTTAAATACACATAAAACGAAGATCCCCTTACTTGTATGACTTATTCAACTAAAAATACACATTTTATTTATTATTTTTATATTATAGTATAAAATAAATTAATTAACCTGTAATAAAAGGTAAATATTTACATTATCCTAGAGTATTCAATGATGTAAAATAAAATTGTAAATTTTCAATTAATTATTGATAAAAATATATTTTTAATGTTTACAATTAATTGATGGATATAAAGTTTTATATTAAAAATTATTAATATTAAATTCATCTTTAAATATGTCAAATATAGAATAAAATAAAATTAAGTTTAATTTTTATATATAATTAACTTAAAATTTTACTAGTCATTCAATTAAAAATGATTATAAATAAAAATTAAAAATAACTTTTTTAAAGGATAAAATCTATAAACCTAAATTGTAAAAACTTTTGAAAGCTGTGCCTAAAAAAATATTGTACATTACTATTTTATAGTCTCTTTATAAAATATTTTATTATGTTCAAGTAACAATTTAGTGGAAGCCATCTTTATTTTCAATAATTCGTATACACATGCACTCACATTTTATTTATTTATGTTATTTTTTATTTTTTTTATATTTTTCTCTTTTATCACATTTTTTTTAGGCTAACCCACCCCAAAATATGAAATGAATATTTGCATTTATTTACAGGTAATATATTCCTTATTACTGTATAAAAATTATTAAATAAAAATAAATATATTAAATACATACCTTAAAAAAAAATTAAAATGATTGTTTTCGTAGTTTGAAATTATTATACCGTTAACAAATATGCGGTGATAAGCAGAAAGTACAAAGAACGATCACATAGAGCGCGTGGAGCCATCTAGTTTAGGTGGACACCAAGTACCCAACGTCTAGATGTCCAGGAGATCTGTGCTAATCAATACGTCTTTTCAAAGTAATAATTTTTAGACATTATTTTGTATTAAGCAATTAATAATTTTATTAAAAAAAACTGCTATATTCATATTCATAATAAATAATCTTACCATATTTTTTAATTCCCAGTTTGTGAATAAATATTAAATTTTTGTGTCCTCAAAGTTTCACCCATCAATCATTCATTTCAAGGAGGGATCGCAATTTTGCCCCCCTTCCCTCTCACTCTCTCTTGTTCATCTCTCTTCTCTCCCACCCTCAGACCCTCAAAATCTTTTTCTAGTCTGTGCTGGTGAGTGCCCAAGGTTTCTCTCGCTTTGATTTTGGGTTTGCATTTTTCGTTCAACTGGGATTCGTTCATTTGTTTACCCTTTTTGTGGGTTAAAATCCATGTTCGATTGGAAGCTTCTATCATAATTTCTTTTGCAGTCTGTGACCCGTGAATGATGCCTTTCCAATTAAGCAAGTAATTTTTTTTCGTGGGGTTGTTTGTTTATTGTTGGATTGGGATTATTTAGATTCTGGGGGTTTCATTTGCCCAGTATGGTTTTGCCTGTTGTTTGCTCTCTTTCTTAAAAAAAAAAAAAGTTTCTCAATTTTCTAATTCTTCTTGTTTTAATTATTTTTGTCTAAAGTGAAGTTTGTTGAAAAAGAAAAAAAATTGTATTTCTAGGGTTTGCTGTGAGTGATATAATTCGGGTCAGGGGCTGAATTTTGGTTGTTATTGTTTTTTCTTTTGAAAAAAAAAATTAGTGGGTTTCTACTTGCGATTGTTGTACAAATATTTTAACTTTGAGTTCTTTGGTGTGTGTAAGTGTCTGGGAAATGTTACTTGTGCTCTTCTTGTCTGTGTGTGTAAGAATATTTATTTATTTATTTGGTTGTGTAAAATGAGTTGATTAACCAGTTAATGATGATTATTTGTGTTTCGGGTTTTCCCGAGGGGAATCACTGGTAAATGATCATTGGTTTCTTACACTTGATTCATGATTTGCCTTACAATACAACCCATTTTACGGCTAATTCTTGCCATTAGTGTTTATATTTTTTATTTGAGTCACATCTTTGTGCATAATAATTTGACACAACTTTTACTCATTCGTGATAAAAATATCTCTGCAGGCAGTTTTTGTTCTGTGTGATTGCATCCTTTGCTCTAAACAGAATTGAGAATTCAGTTTGAAAAGGGTCACTCCTCCTTAGCGACAGAACAAAGCAACAGCCTTTTGTACCGATGGTGAGCATTGTTTTGCTCATATGACCGTAGCTAACTTGATACAGTTCACGTGTCATCAATCTGGCTTTTTATTATTAAATATATTTGTCACGATTGTTTAATTCCATTTTGTTAAGGTGTTTAATATTCTTACATTGTAATGTGACGCTTTTTCTTTAGGCCACTAATGAAAATCTTCCACCGAATGTTATAAAGCAACTTGCCAAGGAGTTGAAAAATCTCGATGAATCCCCTCCCGAGGGCATTAAAGTAGTAGTAAATGATGATGATTTTTCAACTATATTTGCTGACATTGAAGGCCCAGGTAAGTAACTTTGTGTTGTGGTTGTGCGATTGTCCATTGTCATTTGGTTCAGAATTTGCTGAACTGGAATTTATAATTTTGCAGCTGGAACTCCTTATGAGAATGGAGTTTTCCGCATGAAGCTGTTGCTGTCTCATGATTTTCCTCATTCTCCTCCTAAAGGTGTGTGTTTGGATTCCCCTTATAGGCGGCCATTTGTAATCTGCTAGTTACATTACTGAGACAGAACTATAATGTTAGTTTTTGCTTTGGAGTTTTCAATTTGCTTATTCATTTTGTTTTTGATACTTTTTTATTGGGTGGAGTTTATTGTTTATTTAACCAAAAGAGATATATGTTCTACAGGATCACATATATTCTTTTGTATGTTGCCAAAGTTATTAAACTTACGTAACCATTGAATTCAATGTTATAGGTTTTTTCTTGACTAAGATTTTCCATCCGAACATTGCTACCAATGGAGAGATTTGTGTTAACACACTTAAAAAGGATTGGAATCCTAGCCTTGGGTTACGTCATGTTCTTATTGTAAGTGCTTTAGATATTCTTTATTTATTGAATTAAGTTTTACTAGGTTGTTCTTTATATTTATTAACATTGATTCCAATTTTGAACAGGTTGTTAGGTGTCTATTGATTGAACCATTTCCAGAATCAGCTCTAAATGAACAGGCTGGGAAAATGCTGCTTGAAAATTATGATGAGTATGCTAGACATGCTAGGTAAGTTGACCATTGATACTATTTCTGTGAAATAATTTAATGTGAAACTTTGGGTGGTTACCAAGTTTAGAATATTACTAATGAGTGGCTGAATGGCATTGGCTAAGAGAAGCATTCTATATTCTTTGTTAGATAGGTTTTTTAGTACAATAACTGTGTTCCTTTTCATTAACATACATTATCCTTAGTTTAACCCTGTTCTGGAATCTTTTATGGCTTTTAATTCGAATTCAAATAACACATTGCTTCCCTCATCTGCCGAAGTTCATCAGTAGGACAATTCTGTATATCTATTTGGGATCATTTTTGTTGCCTCATTTAAACTTACCTTTTTCTGAGCTTGACTACTAGCATGTTTTTACATTTTGGCCAACACAAATGCTGTGTCCACGGTCCTGTTGAAAACTTTCTAAAACAAACAGACTCTACCTCATTGAATCTATGTTTCTTTAGCTGCCCAATTTCACACGGGGTTGATATGAAACCTGTGGGACATCTCAGTGCTCATGATTTCATGTAGTACACTAATTTTGATTTATAACTAAAGTGTTTTTTGTTAGATTTGATCAATTTTCTTGAGTTTGATAGAGATTTGGGATCTTTCTCCATACCATTTTGACATTTTAACATTACATTACCTACTTGATTCAACAATTCCCCTTCTCCCAATTGTGACTTGTGCAGGCTGTACACTGGAATCCATGCAAAACCAAAGCCCAAATTCAAGAGTGGAGCTATCTCCGAATCAACTACTGCTCTGAATGTTGATCAGACTAACACCTCTGTGCTTAATGCTGACATTAAAACTACTTCAGCGAGTGCAGCATTGCCTGTGCCAGTGCCTGCAACCAGAGGAAATAGTCAGGAACAGGCCGCCACCTCTGTGCTTACCTCTGCTACAGTCATTTCTACTGCTTCTGCACCTCAAAAGAAGGAAGTAAAAGCTCTGGTGGACAAGAAGAAGATAGATGCCAGAAAGAAAAGTTTGAAAAGATTGTAATAAACTGTCAACTGTTGATGTTTTTATTTGTGGCTTAGTTTTACAATTTCATAGAGAAAGAGGAGGGAGCAGAGATGTGTTCTGCTGGGAAGATGGGTTCAACATTTGCTTCATACAATGAATGAGTTATTTCCATTTGGAGTAAATGCATGAAAATGAACTTCTTTTCTTTGGCCTTGTGCAACTTTAGTAATATTGGTCCTTTGGATAAGATAGACTGAAGTTAGGTTATTTTTGGATTCAACTCATTTATAAAGTTTAGGTTGGATGGGAATTGGATTTTTTTTTTTTTTCCTTTTGAATTCTAACCTGGCGATCGTGTAGATTGATTGATATTTAAAATGAACATTAATTATGAACTAAAAGAAGGAAAAATCTAGCAGTGTGTGGACTTTAACCATTAAGCAATTCAAAGAAACATTGTTTAAACCAACGTGAGTTTTAATCAATTTAACCGGGTTTTTATGTCAATTAACATAAAGAAGGTTTATTAGTTGAACAAGTTTCCCTTAGATTTGTAGGTATATATTGATTTATTATGGAGGCTTCAATCAAAATATAGATAAATGGATAATTATATTGATTGTTCAGTAAAGTAATTGTAAGTCCCTTTAAACCAAGTTTTATTATCAGTAACTAGCTTTCAGAATAAAAATATCTAAATGTATATCACTATCTAAAAATAATTTTAAAGAAAAACATTTTTTTATTTAAAATTAACTTCACCATAGCTCGCTAAACACAAAAACAATAAGAACTATGAAACTAGTATGTTGAAAAAAATAAACATTTATTCTATTCACCCATGAAAAAGAAACAGTATTATGAAAGGAAAGAAAAGAAATATTTTATCCAGATGGATGAGTAGGAATGAAAAGAAAGATTTTTTGTTTGAAAGAATAAAGTTTGGATTGGCGAACAAATGTGAGGAAGTGAAAACAATGTGACATAAAGAGAAGTAGGGTGAAAAATGATATTATTTCGATTAAAAATATCATAAACAAAAATAAATGAAAAATTAAATAAATTTATTTACTATTTTAATATATTTTAAGTTGATTATTTATTAGTTAATATTTTTTTTATAAAAATGAAACATAATCAATTATATTTAAAGATGTAATTAAGTAATTTTTATTTTTTCTGCATTTCTTTTCTAGGTGAACTCTCTTTTATCAATCGTAATTTCTATTTTAAAATTTGTAAAATTTTTATATATTCGTTTCACAGTCTTCACTTCTTGCGCTACATACAAATATAAGCGGAGAATGAAAAAATAAAGATTATTTATTAAATGGAATTAAAAGAAAAGAAATAATTTTTTAACATTTCTCAAATGACTGAAAGAGTAAGTAAAAAATATAATATTTTTTCTTTCTTTTTTAAGAAAATTGCTTTAAACTGAAAACACAAGCGTTAATCAATTACCAAGTGGATCTAAGCTTATGGTTGTATCACGTTTGATTATGAATTGAAAATAAAAAATTGGCTTGATTATCAAAATAAAGATAAATTTCAACGTATTAATTAACAAATTTTGAGAAAATTGTGGTGGGTAGGTAGTGGTCTAAACCCTGCCAAATTTGACAAAGTTGACGAGGCCTTCGATATCCAAAGTGGTTTTAGTCAAGAAGTCCCCGTCAAGGTGGTGGTGGGTATTTGTCTTCTCTTTCAGACGTTTTCATTTCTTTCTATCTTCATCCATTTTTATTTTTTTATTTTTCATTTCAATCAAATATAAACAAAGATAAGTGATGTTGGTAGTTACTACGTCAAAAGTAACTCGGAGATTTGACATGGTATATTAAAAGACCAGAGTGATGAAATTTTATATTAATTAGATATATAATAAAATTATAATCATTACTGAGTATTACTTAATTTAATTTTGTTGGCTTAAATTAAATATCTCTTTATTTTTATTATGATATTAAAGTTATAACATATTTTGTACGACCAAGATAAATAATATAATAAAAAAGTGTGAATTATTAATACGAAAATAACGAAATTTTCAATTATATGACAAAAAATTTGAAATTTCTTTCAGAGTTAAAAACTATACAATATGTTTTATGAGAATGTCACATGGATAACAACCTGTAACAATTAAAGACGAAAGTATATCTCTTCAAAAAAGGATAAAACTTAGCAATATAACAAAAAACATATAAATAAAACTTGTGATATATGTCAAATGACAAAACAGAGTAAGAATAATTTTTCTTTGAGTTATAAAACTATAGCACTTTTAAATTAATCTATTGTAATTAGTGAAGACCTTATTAAACTTTATTATCATGAGGTGCATATTGTTTTGCTATAGTTAATGATTGATCATGTGTTATTTGAACTTATCTTTTACGTGATAAAATGGAAGTTTTTTTAGTGTTGTTGAATTTTGTTATTTTGACAAAAAAATAATTTGAAATAAAATTAAGATCATTTGAAGTGATAATAGAATTGAGTTTATTGGTTTATCAACAAAGTTTATTGAACTTGATATTATTTTTCAAATATCTTGTAAAGGGATATCTCAACCAAATAATCAAGTTGAAAGAAAACACAAACACATACTTAATACAGTGCATATCTTAACATTTTTAAGTAATCTTCCTATCTCTTTGTGTCTTAACTACTAAATATCTAATAAATAGAATGTCAAAACTTTTGTTAGATGAACTCCTTTTAAAATGCTATATTGGCAACCACCTTCAAACAATCACTTAAGGGTGTTCGATTATTTATGTTATCCTAATAATCAAGGTAGGAAAGAATATAAGTTTGTTAGTCACACTAAGAGATGTGTGTTTGTGGGTTATCATTATGGGAAGAAAAAATGAATGTTGTATAATCTGGAGATTAAAAGTTATTTTGTGTCAAGAGATGTCAATTTTTTGAATGAATTTTCTTTCATACAACCCACTAGTAACAAGACTATTCCTATTGCAATGATAATTGATATTAATATTGAAGATAACAATATTGAAAATATTGATGATTTTGGATTTGTAAAGGTGAGGTGACATGTGATACAGGGAGGGAAGAGAATTAGAAAATAAACTTTCTTCCTAAAGTGAGCTACAAAATGATGAACATCTTGAATGGGAAAACATTTCAAAGTTCCTTTGACTTCGAGAGTACGTGACTAATACCGTTGAAGTAAAAAACTCATCCAATTGTTCTTCCACTCCACAACAGAATTTAAGTGAGCCCTATCACATTACACATTATGTGAATTGTCATAATTTTTTTAGCATTGTTTAGTGTTGCAATAACTACCGAGAAAGAACTATCAAGCTACCGAGATAGAACCTCGACAACATGACATTTACTAATAGAACAAGAATACATTGAAATACAATGGATATATAAGATTAAGTATAATTTAGATAGAAATATAAAACATTTTAAAGCTCCATTAGTCATACTTGGAAGACATCAAGTTAAAGGAGTTGATTACACAAAGACATTTGTCCTAGTAGCAAAGATGGTTATTGTTCAAATTGTATTGACAATTGCCACAACCAAAAACTTGGAACTTCACCAAATAAATGTTCACAATGTTTTCTTGCATGGTAATCTTGAAAAGACGTGTACATGTATTTGTCCCCAAACATTCATTCTCATACCTCAAAACCAAGTGTGTTATCTTCAAAAATCCATATACGATTTGAAACAAACCCCTAGGTGTTGATTTGTCAAATTGGCTGGTGTCTTTAAATAATATAAATTTAAATAATCTCTTTCTGATTATTTCTTATTCACTCTACAAAATAATTTAGTGCAACTTAATGTCTTAGTTTTATGTTGATGATCTAATCATATGTGGAAATAATCATGAAGTTATCCAATGGTTCAAAGATTAATTGAACAAATGTTTTCAAATGAAAGACTTGAGAAAAATGAAGTATTTATTGGAGGTAGAAGTAATTATATCACTTATTGACATTTTCCTATGTAAAAAAAATATGTTTTAGACATAAATAGTGAAACATGATTGCTTGGAGCAAAACTTATGTCTACATGTGAAGGTGTGAACATGTGAAGGTACTGAGAGTTCTATGGAATGAAATGTGTGATAGACACTACATAAATTGTGTGTTATGAATATGAATAATTTTAAATATAACTTGAAATGGTGAGTTATTTCTACATGAACATATATACTGTTTATTTATGATGCCTTAATTGTGATCATTGTATGATTACAAATCTAGCCAACCATATTTCGGGGAATGGATCTCATTCATGTTAGATTGTTATATCTGCAAATTAAGGAAGTTATCTTATCTACATTCTTAAGTATATGATTATTTTAGGTTGTTATAATAATAATAATAATAATAATAATAATTATTATTATTATTATTATTATTATTATTATTATTATTAACAATTTTTTTTAAGTTAGAACACTTTTAATGAATTAAGAATTTTGTTAATGGATTGTAAATGAGATATTTGTGTCTCTTTCGTTGTTTTACAAACATTCACTCACTCATACTCATTTCTCTCTCTATATATATATAAGCCTAAGAAAACCGTATGTGCTCTTTAGTAACATTCAAAATATTTTAAACATGCTTTAAGACGTGAATAAGAAATTAATTTGTCTCCTAAATTTCATTCATTTGTTTTCTTAATAATAGACCTGACAAATCATGAAGGGATTTGTTCTCCTCAATTACAAGCTACACACAATAGATACAAAAGTCATGTTTCTAACATTGTATCGTAGCATTTGTCTTTTTCTTATAATAATGTTTTAAATTATGAGGATTAACATAGAGATGTGAGTTATCCTAATTTTGTTGTCTTGTCTCACTTATTTAAATCTAGTTTGTTTTTGTTTGCAAACTAACGAAAATTAAAACACTTCCTTTTCAGTTTAGTGTTTCCTACTATTTTAAGATGTTTCATAATGATGTTTGGGGTATTTCTCCTATGACTTCTCATGCTCATTATAAATATTTGGTTACATTTATTGATGATTACAATTATTTTACTTTGATATACCCCAAAGTAAATATGACCCCTCTTTATTTATACATCACACATTTATAGGTATTGTTTTTCTACCTCTGTTTGTTAATGAAATGGTTATCACTGACTCTTATCAAATATTCATCTAGGAACGTAAACAACAACTACAAACTGCATTTCATATGAAAGACCTCATTCACTTGCACTATTTCCTTGGTTTTGAAATTCATTCTACCTCCAAGGGTACATTTTTTCATTAGCATAAGTATACTACATACGTCATATCTTTAGTTGGCCTCCACTAAAGTAATATGATGGATACTTCTCTTGAAGTTATGTTAAATATCATTGTGATGAAAGTGATCTATTGTTTGACCCGTTACTATATTGACAACTTATGGATAGTCTTAATTAATTGACTATTACACTATCTAACATATCATTTACTGTTGAACAAGTCAATCAATTTAAGCATCCTTCTCATCATCTACAAATGGAAATAGTCCTTCATATAATTTAATGCTTAAAAAAAATCTCTTATCAAGGTCTATTTCTTCATGTGGAACAATGTCAAATTCATTGTTTATAGTAATGTTTTTAAAATCTGTTCACTGAACCGGTAAAGATATGAGTTCAAGACTTAAAGGTTCAACCGGGGTCTAACCAAATTTAATATAATAATATTTTTATAATATAATAAGTATATAATAAGTTTATCGAGTACTAATATTTTTTATAAACAGAAATAAAAATAATAAAGGTTATGGTCATGTTATAATAAAAATTATAAATATAAAATATGTTAGAGAGTGCAAGATGAATAATTATTAAAATAAGATAAAAATATAATAAATAGTTATTATTTAAAGTTGATGTAATTAATGAGATAAAAAATGAAAAATAAAATAAAATATATTATTTCTTTTATAAAAAAATTGATCTTTTTTTTGTTTTTTTTTTTACCAAAAGTTGTTCAGCCCAAAACGCCAACGATTTTACTTGGTTTTTTCGTGATTTAATTAAAGTCTAATTATTTGAAAGTAACTGATCGATTTCTAGTCCGAGTTCCGGTTGAAGCTGGTCGGAGCCGATTTTCAAAACAATAATTTATGGTGATGTTAATTGGGTTAGGAGTCTTAATACTCCGAAATCAATCATTGATTGGTTCATGTTGTGTGGTTCATTGTTGATCTCGTAGAAAAGTAACAAACAAACATGTATTTCTAAATCATCTAGAATCAAAGTACCGTACTATGTCTACTTCTTATTCCAAGTAGTGTGTCTACTTCTTGTTCCTAAATAATTTGGCTTCCAACACCTCTTTATGCTGACAATACAAGTGTTATTCAAATAGTTGCAAATCCAAAGTTTCTTGAGCAAAGCAAACATATTCAAGTAAATTATCATTATATTTATGAGGTTTAAGATAATCATGTTATATCAATCTCTCACATCAATACTCAATTTGAAGTTATAGATATTCTTACCAAGGTTATTCTTCATCCACGTCACCAATTTCTTGTGAGCAAATTGATGTTTGTTGATCAATCACATCATAAATTTCTTATGAGACATATTAAGAAATAAAATATTTATAATGATGAGTAGTAATAATTTGTAAATATTTTTATTATTATTTTTAGAGAATAAGGACAAAAAAAAATCATTTTTGAAATTCTAGACTAAGCATATTTGATATTTATATACAGTATATAATATACTATTGTTTCTAAGGAGAATAATATTTGAGATATTGATTCTAAAGGAAATTGAAAGAGAACTAAGGTTAAGAAAAGAATGGTTTCGGAGAGAATATTTGTTTTCAGTTAGTAAAACTTGGTGATTTCCAAAAATACTAGATGTAATCTCAATAATAGATTTGAATTAATAAAAAACTATTTATTTATTGTATTTTTTCCATTTTACTTTAAAAAGATTCTGCACGTGCAAGTTTTTAGACAAACTTATCATATGTTAATAATAGGGTAAAATATATTTTTCATGTAATAATCACGAAAAATATTTGTGTTTAGTGTAATTAAAAAAATGTTTGATTTTCATGTACTATTAATTACTCTATTAAGTTTTGAATCGTTATTGCTTGAGAAACTATTAATTTTATGCTATATTGATCATTAAATAAAGTGGATGTTCATTTGTTAAAAAGGATGATCTTTGAATAGAAAAAAAAAATTGGATCCACAAGTCCCAAATAAATTGGCGAAAAAAAACTCTGTTCTTTAGATGATTATCATATATTACCTAAAATTAATTGTTCATAAACTTGACGAATGTGATTATACACATTTTCGATTAGTAATGAACTTCTGTAAAATTGAACTTACCTACAAATGAAACTACACACATCGGTATATAATGATCCACTTGATATAAAATTAACTACTTCAATGGTGATAATTAAAAACCTAATGAAGTAATTGATATTGAATGAAAAATAGACAAAATATTATAATTATATTTAATAGAAATATTTGTCATAATTATTATATAAAAAACATATTTTTCCCTAAATAATATTATAACCTCATTTTTATATTTTGTCCATATAAAACAAGCAAAGAAAAACATTTTTTTTCTTTACAAACCAAGTCATTATTTAAACTTACAAAACTTAGGAAAGACAAAATTTTATGTTTTTGATATGCATCTTTACCTTAAAAAATAATATTCTATTTTTATTAATAAATGTGCATAATCCATGATGACTTTGCATGTTATAACTTTCATATAACTCTTCCCCTTATGAATACCAAAAGCATATAAACAGAAGAAGTAAAATATTAAGAACCACTTTCAACTTGGTAGTAATTTGATATTTCTTAAATGGTATATTTTCTGGTTTCTTTGCAAATTTAATAATAGATTTTCACCATTTTTATTTCAAAAAAAAAATTCCTTTTTTACACATGATTTTACAACAAAATTCTAACAACAAAAGATTTTACAATCTTTTGAAAATGTGTTGTTTATTGAAAATAACCTAGTTAGAATTTAACAAATATAAATAAAGAAATACAACTAAAATTCTTTGATTTGACAATCACAATCTTGATAACAACTTTCTAATGTTATGAACGCTTTACACAATCACTTTAATGTATTTAGTAAATAAATATGAGTATATGAATGTCCAGACTAACAAAACATGCATATGAAATATTTGATTGAAAAGGGACATCTATCCCCATTTATAAAATTCTTACTGGAATCCTTACAAGCAATAATTTATACATATTTAATGTTAATTATTATGTTTTCAATGCTTTTTAATATTCGTCATATGTAACTGAGTAGTTAAAGTCATTTATTGTGCGTTATTACTTTATTATCAATAGATGTTTAGGATCCAAAATGTTAATCAGATACATGAACTCCCCAAGCTCAAAGTCTAAATTTAGTGAAGCTCAAAATCTAAATTTAGTATAGACGAGTGAGATTATTTATTATTGAGTTTATATCTATTTGAGTTATTACTTTATTGCGTTGTCGGACATCATGATGTATAATAATAATGGGAGATCAGAGGTCGACTTGTGTAAGATCGGAGGAGATGCCAGGAATTACTTAATGACCAAAAATATGGACTCACATTACGGGTCATAGTTGAACTTCTACAACTTCTTCATTAGTTGAATGATGAACTTTGTTTTTTCTGCCAACCTTCATAAACCTTGATAGGGAAGTGACATGAATATGAGGAATTTTCCTCCTTCTGTGCCAAACACACATTTCTCTGGGTTAAGCCGCATGTTAAACTTTCTTAGCACCGTGAAAACTTCGGCCAAGTCGGCTAGTTGCTAGTGGCATGTGTTGGACTTAACGATTATGTGGCCCACATATACTTCGACGTTTCTCCCTATTGAATCTTTGAAGACTTTGTCCATTAGTATCTGGATATATAGCCTAGTGTTTTTTGGGTCGAATGATATTACTTGATAGCAGTAGTTAGCACTGTTAGTTGTGATCACTGTCTTTTCAACGTCTCAATGGTACATTTTAATCTAGTTGTATTCGGAGTAAGTATCTTGAAAGGTTAAGACTCTGTGTCTGGCGGATCAGTCTACGAGGTGATATATATTCAAGAACGAATATACATATTTGGGGAATGCCTTCTCTAGGTCGGTGTAGTTGGTGCATATACATCATTACCCATCTTTACAACCATTTTATTCACAACTTTAAAATATTATTTTTTTTATTGATGGAATGAAAAAAAAAATAGATAAATAATAATATAAAAATATAAAAATGAGTTGTTGAATGGATGTTTTTATCATGCGGTGTCAAAATACCATAACTTTTGTTTTTTTACTAGTAACGTATTGGCTAACCATATGAGGTATTGAACTTCTCTGATGAATCCTGCTTCTAACAACTTTTAGACTTCTTTGTGCCTAATTTTCTTTTCTTCTTGGCTATCAGGTGTGCCTCTCGGCATATAGATATCTTGTGCGTGATAATGCGAAGGTCTATCCCTAGCATGTCTGCAATGGTCCATGCGAATAGGTCTTTCAAAAACATCTCCAAGAGACGCCTATCATGGTCATTAAGGGAGGAACCCGTTTCGGTATTTTGGCCTAGTTGTCCCTGTTGGAGCAAGTTGGTTTCTTCGCGAGGTTGTACTCCACACTCGCTATTCATGCGTGGATCGAGGTAAGATAGGATGACCAGGTTTTGTTCAGCTTCCTTTACATATACCATGGTGGTGCTGGCAGTTAACTTTAAGCTAGTTACTTAGCATTCTTGTGTCGCCTTCATGTATCGTGACGATGTTTCCAAATAATGTCGGGAACTTCATGGCTAGGTGTGGGGTTGACACTATTACTCCAAAAGTATATCCAAAAGAAAATCAATTTTTACTAAAATTATATCTATAGAATTATTTTTTTAAAAAGTTAAAAGAATATAGTTATATAATATGAAAGATAAAAGGGAAAGGAAATGTCTCTACCAAAGCAATCCCTTGTATTAAAAAAAAAGTTAAGAAAACAATTCTATATAATATTATTTTTAAACAAAAAGTTAAAAATATAGTTATATAATATGAAGGTTAAAAAGAGAAGAAAATATATATACCAATTAGACAAATCCATCCATAAACCTATTAATTTATTAATAGTATAGATAACATTAATTTTTGATATCTTTAAATAACTCTTTTTTTTTCACTTCTATCTAAAATTAATTTTTGAAAATTATTTTACAAAAGAATTTAAATATTGAAAAACATAGCACAAGGAAACATATCCTACATGTGGGACATAGATAATCATATACATGATACGCCATACTATTGAATAATTTATATGTTAGTGGTAATTAGCGTTAACCTCTCTTTGTGTGAATAACTAAAAGACACATTTTCACAACCAAATGGATAACTTTCAGATAAAAAAAGTATTCTGACTAATTATGAAAGATTTTTTACAGTATCTACAATTTGTTACTTTATTATTGAATTGCTTGGATTGAAAGGGGCAACAGACTAATTATGACGATTTTCTTTTTATTTAAAAAAAATAATTTAAATAATGGTAATATTTCATCTATTAATATAGGAATGGAGATTGAAGTTGAAATAGGTGAATCAATTGTAATTAGACTACTAGAAAATGAGTGGTGAATCTAATTCGACTTTGAGCTTGAATATGCACAAGAAAATCATGGAGTTCATTGGAGATATGCATTCGGTTGATGACAGACAAGATATATACATTGACAGGGTCTATTGGGAAGTCACATTGGAAAGGGGATTTTGTTTGTTGGTGTCTATCATTTTAGACAGGTCCTTAAAGACTCTTGCTTACAAGAGGGATTCAAATTCTCATACTAAAAAATGTCAAGTTTGAAGATTATGCATCTCATGATTCTCTATGCCCGGATGGACTGACATACCTACAATGTTGTACTCAACTGCATAAGATAAACAAAAAATAAGGAAGCTACTTTTGCTTGGAATGCTAAAAGGCTGAAAAGCAAGCATAGAAAGGATTCTTATACGTCATGTGCTAGAATGTAGAGTTTATGGAGAAGTAGGGATTGGAGCCTAATAAACCAATGCAACTATAGCATGCTCATAAAAGAAAGATTTGTGCCAGGTTATCAACCATGGTTTAGAATAGATTGTAGTAATTTCAAGAGTTTCTTTTACTTGTCTTGTCTGAGACAGTTACCTGAGACTAGGAGTTTGTAAACATCAAAAGACACCATTCCATCACAACTACCAATAGAAGCAGTGCTTTAAACTAAATGTTGTTAAGATTGAATTCAAAAGCAACACATAAAAATTTAGAAAGAAGACAATAATGACAGTAGATAAGGACTAGATGTACTATAACACAAGTCAACCTAGACATCATTTTATCACAAATTTTTCATCAATTCAATTCTGAATTTAGTGGAGATGGTGTACCATCATCACTTGGCCATCATGACCTTAACAAACTCGTCATAATTTATTTGGCCATCACCATCAACGTCAGCTTCTCGAATCATCTCATCAACCTCTTCGTCAGTGAGCTTCTCCCCAAGGTTGGTCATCACGTGGCGGAGCTCAGCAGCAGAAATGAACCCATTCTGGTCCTTGTCAAACACTCGGAACGCTTCTTTCAGCTCCTCTTCAGAGTCAGTGTCCTTCATCTTTCTAGCCATGAGGTTCAAGAACTCAGGGAAGTCAATGGTGCCATTTCCATCAGCATCTACTTCGTTGATCATGTCTTGGAGCTCTGCCTCAGTAGGATTCTGACCCAAAGAACGCATAACGGTTCCAAGCTCCTTTGTTGTGATGCAACCTGAAATAAGATCAAACACCATTTAAACTTCAACAGAAAAAACCTCCCAATTCAACTCATGCTTACAAATCTTGATCATGCTCAAAGGGATGGATGCCACATATACAATGAGAACAAGGTTTTAAATGTTTGTACAATCTGCATAAAACTTCAATGTCTTTCAAATTATTTTTAATTCGGATTTTTAAGATCCCTTCCCTTGGATTTCAAATAAAATTGAAAAAAAAAAGTAATCTTTTGTGTTTTAATAAAAAAATGTATCTTCTTTATCATTCTACTGGGGGCAATAAACTACATACCCCAGATTTAAACTCCAAACCACCAATCAAGCTTAAGAAATTATTGATAGTTCATCCAAGCTTTTGGTGGCTATGTTGTTCTTAGAATATCTTGTAATTAAAATCTGGTTAAATATTGAAAAACAAAAAAAGGATTTTCATAAATAAAAACTTACAGAGTATTAAATTTTGAAAAATCTATAAAATTTACCTTAACCATGATTTTCTTCATGAAGTTCAAAACAAAAAATAGTTCTTTTTAATAAACGGACTCATATGCTCTAATATAATATGAATCATAGACATGGGCAAGGACAGAGAATTCTTCATGATATATTTGAGGTATTAATGTGGGGATGCGAAACCAAAAAGAAAAAAAAAATAATAAATCGTCTGATTTAATCTTTTTCCCTTTCGAATAAAGTACTATAATAGTTCATGTTTGTATCACTCTATCATTCTGACAACGTAAACCAGAAAAGCATAAAAGGCTTAACAGAAGAACTCAGAAACTAGAAAAAGAAATTTATAAGTATATTTAAAAGAGATTAATGGAAGAAGTTAGTTAAAGTGATGAGGGTAATGAATCGAAAAATGCAAAGGAGAATTTCAAACAGGAAAGGGATGTGATAGATCGAAACATACCATCGCCATCCTTATCGAACAAGCTGAAGGCTTCTTTGAACTCAGAGATCTGGTCATCGGTGAGTTGTTCTGCCATCGTGATTGGAATGAATTGCTCTTTCTTTCTTTGAATGGATTATTTTTTTTTCTGAAGAAAGAGAGAGAAACGAAGAAACTACAGAAAATAGCGTTTCAATGTTATTCCGACAAAACCTCCCCTTCTTGTATCAAGTCAGCGACACAGAGTCCCCTAATTTTTTTTTCTTGACTATAAATAAAATTGACTTGTTTCCGTTTTCCTCTTCTCCAATTTTCATCGATGGCCCATTTAAAAATTAATAAAGGAGTCGATAGCCCATTTAAAAATTAATAAACGAGTCAATAGCCCATTTAAAAATTAGTAATTGAGTCGATGGCCCATTTAAAAACTATTAAGTGAGTCCTATATGACTAGTCGGACCAATATTATTTTTTTAGTAAAAAAACATTATATGCTATTGATGTCAGAGTCTTCTTTATAGCAAATATTATAGTGAAAGAAAAATAAGAATAAAATAAATTAGCTTATATATTTATATTTCAAAAATACTCATATCATTCAATTTAATATTTTTCTTAGTAAATATATCCGAAGGTAATTCAGTAAAAGTATTTTTCTTTATTGTATGAAAACAAGATTATTAAATAAATTTAACTATTACTCTTAATCAACGTGAAATAGCTAATTTAACTTGTACTTCCTAGGTTTCAACTTAAAAGTTAAAATTTTGAGAGATTTTTGTCTCTACTTTTAATTGTTATTTTCAAAATTCCAATAACATTAATTATTTTTTTATTCATTCGTTATTTTTTCCTCAATTTTAATATATATATATATATATATATATATAGAAATTAAAAGACGTAAAATAAATTTTTTATAAACATTTTATTAAAGTAAAAATTTATTTTAGTTTTTTTTTGGAAAGAATATTGAACAATATTAAAAAAGAAACAGAAAAAAAATTATATTAAAAAAATGGAAACCAATACAAACATGATCACAAAGAATGAAGAAGAATGGGAAGAGAAGAACATGTGAATAAAAAAGAAAAACATTTAATGGACATTGTGGCGCACAATAAAAAAAAGTTTAGATGAGAAAAATAAAAAAGAATATTTTATCTAAAAAATACTTTTTATAGCGATTTAATTTTGAACTCGATATAAAAAGTATTTATTATGATAATTTAAAATGTGAAATTTAATTACAAAATTGTCACCGTACAACTTATTATAATTGGTGAATTAGAAACATCATAATAAGTTGTCATAAAATGTTACTTTTATACTAGTGTCTTCTCTACAAAGATCGAGAACTTGTTGATGAGCATAAGAACCACTTTCCTCTTTAGCTCATACTCATTCCCTCCTTAAACTTCCTACGTCTTCAAGTCTTTAAAGTGGCCTAAGCGGTAAAATCTAGCTAGGTGTTCAAACCTAAGAACATATGCATACACAGTAAAAACTTCGTATTTGTCCTCCATCATTTGTTGCATATTCATGCTTTAAAGATAACTAAAAAATACTATTGTCACTAGTGGAAAAATAGCTTTCTATGACGGGTTTTTATCACGGTCGTAATCCACCCGTCATAGTATGTGGTGCGGTGGCAATTTTGTAATAAAATCATAAACTTTCTATGTCGGGTAAGTTTTAACCGACATAGTAAGTGGAAAGTTCACTTTCTATGTCGGTTAAAATTTACCCGACATAGAAAGTTCACTTTCTACGTCGGTTAAAATTTACCCGACATAGAAAGTTAACTTTCTATGTCGGGTAACATTTAACCGACATAGAAAGTTAACTTTCTATGTCGGGTAACATTTACCCGACGTAGAAAGTGAACTTTCTATGTCGGTTAAATTTTAACCGACGTAGAAAGTGTCTTTGATGACGGGTGTTAGGGCAACCGACATAGTATCTTCTGTTTTACCCTCCTCCCGCGCTCTATTTCATTTCATCACTTCCCCCCATAGCGAGCTCCCCGTACGTTTCTCCCTACGCTCCATTTCCTTTCATCAGCTCACCCATACCGGAGCTCCCATGTTCGCTTGTATACGTTTCTCCGCACCCACATTTGCTCGTCACGCCACCTCGCCAACGCTTCGTGCCGCCTCGTCGCTACTAGTGCCCGTCGCCCGGGATACGTTTCTCCCCACCCAGCCTCGCACGTCACGCCACCCGCCACCTCTCGTAGGTCTTCAAGAGGTAAGTTTTCGTGCTTGCTTTAGCCAATGTAGGTTTACAGTATTGAATCTAGTAAGTAATAATGTCGTAAAGAGAGGGAAACATCACGGGTGCCTTTAGCTAATTTAGAGATGTATTGTAAGTAGTTTAGTCATTTGAATGTGTTTCGTAGGCATTCTTTCGTGATTTTGATTTTGAACATTAGATTTGTATTATAATGTAGTTATTTTGAGAGTGGAGTTGGATTTCGTGTAGGCATTATAATGTAGTTATTTCGTGTTTCGTAGCTAATTTGATTTTGAAAATTAGATTTGTAACAATGGATCGGAGTTGGATCAATTATAGACGAACAACAAATGAATATGAGAGTGGAGTAGAACAATTCCTTGAATTTGCTAAGATGAATGTTCCGGATAATGATGGAAGATTCTATTGCCCTTGTGTTAACTGCTTGAATGAGCGAAGATTACCGACTGAAGTTATTCGGGAACATGTTCTTTGTGATGGTTTCCTAAAGAGTTACATAAAGTGGACATGGCATGGTGAATTATTAAACATGCCAAGTGTAGAAGACAAAGAAGAAGTTGATCTAGAGATGGATGATCAGCTGGAGGAAATGATTCGTGAGCTTGGACAAGATGCCTTCCAACACACACATTCAGTCCGTTGGGAATAAAGCTGAAGAGGTGCAAACGTACTTAATAGAGGCATTTCAAAATGGGGGCAAAGAAGTCTACTTAGCACCTTACTTGCATCAGTAAGTATACATCTTGTAAATTAATGCACATTTATGTAAAACTGAAATTTTACTAATATTATTGCAACGTGCAGGGGTCATTGGCAGCTCATAATAATTGTTCCTCGCCAATTTCTTGTGATTCTCTTGTGTTCATTACACAAGAAACCAAATGATTTGGATATTAGAAAGCACATAGACGCGTAAGTTTGGTTGTTTTTAATTGTTGTATCATATGTGCACTACTTACACCAAAATTATTTGTCCTTTTGTAGAGCTTTGGAAGCTCACCTAAGGTTGCAAGGTCTTCCATCTCATGCTAGAAAGAAGTTGACGTATATTGCACCAAAGGTGACCAAACACCTCTTACTGTTGTTCAATTTGTCATTTAAAGTTAATCTGACATGTATTTAACTTGTAGTGTCCACGCCAACCGGGAAGCTATGAGTGCGGGTTTTATGTGATGAAGCACATGCACACCATTGTAGCCAAAAATATTCTTGACACGTGGAGGGAGGTAAATATACTATAATTAAGTCAAATATGCCAATTATGTAAATGATTTCTAAATCTGAAATGTTTCAATATGTAGGAATTTACAGACTCATCTCCAATGAAGATTGAAGTCTTAGACGATATCGAGAGCAAGTGGGCTTCTTTCCTTTTAAGCATTCAATCTTCATAGGAAATTTAACTTGTAACAATTTAGATAGAATTGATTTCAGTTAGGAAATTTACATTCGTTTAAGTAAATGAACTGTCCGTACATATATTCATTTCAACGTGTTTCATATGTACATATCTCGTCCGCAATCGAATCCGTCTCGTACTGGATATATATCCGTAGCAAATTTATATATGAACTGTGCATATCTGTCTGTACTGGATCTGTGGTTATTTGTCTGGAACTGTGATGAATAGGTAGGTCTACTGGAAGAAAGGTAGCATCTGTAAATAAAATGCAGGTATTTAAAAAAAAATAACACTTTCTACGTCGGTTATGTCATTACCCGACGTAGAAAGTGTAACATTTTATGTCGGTTATAGGCATAACCGACATTGATAACACATACAATAACGGTTACTGTTAACCGATATAGATACTAGGGTTATAGAAAGTTAGAAAGTAAGACTTTCTATGTCGGTTATAATTTTAACCGACATAGAAAGTAAGACTTTCTACGTCGGTTCCCTGACTAACCGACGTAGAAAGTCTTTCTATGACCGATCAGAACCAGTTATGATCGATCAGAATAGCTCTATGACCGATCATAACCAGTTTGACCGATCATAATAGCTCAAAGAAAGTAGGGCTTTCTACGTCGGTTCCTATTAACCGACGTAGAAAGTCTTACTTTCTACGTCGGTTATTAGGAACCGACGTAGAAAGCCTTACTTTCTATGACCCCCGTATCTATGTCGCCGCTTTAACCGATGTCGAAAGCCCATTTTAACCAATGTAAAAAGCCTTTTCTGCAGTAGTGTGTTGTCATTATTGTCTCCAACAAGTGCATGGTAGTCTGGTGCTATTAGACTATAGTCATTTCTTATTAATGGAGGATATTAGTCATTATTTCTATGTTCATGGTGATTTGGCTCATCTCAAAAGGGTGAGGAAGAGGGATATGAGTGTAAGCATCATCCTAGATAACACAAAGAAATTTGTTAGAAAACAAAAGTCAGATTAATTCTAACTCAAATTTCCTTAAACTATTACAAAAACCACAAATTTCTAGTTAAGAAACCACACAACTAACATAGAAAACCAAGTTTCTCTCAGTTTCATCTCAAATACAACCTACTTTGATTCCATAGTAAGAACCCAAAATATACATACCATAAATATGTAATTCAAAATATAAAATTCCTCTATATAGGGAAATACATAATTTGAGATTGATAAAAACATCTAAACATTATATACATTAAGCTTAATCCTGTTGAGGCTTCATACCTACATCATTTGCTCCAATATAAACACATGACCATCACAATTTAAAGTAATATATAAAATACATAGGAAAGCTACTAATTTAAAATAAACATATGAAATTCATTCTAACTGATTATAGGTAACAACTTAGAACTAGACTCAATATTACAATATATCACAATCTTGCATTCCATTCAACAGTAATGGTACTTCACTTGAACGATCATTTGTCACCTTAACGAAATACTTATAGTATTCAATCCAAATGGTTCTTCCTATTTTTTTCTTGAGGGAGTTCATCTCACTTAAGCGACAAAGTTATTTTCGTTTGAGCAAAAGACTTCTAATATTTAAATCAGTTCAAGAGTGTTGATGTAAAAAATATAAATAGATAATTACTACCTACTTGAAATCGTTGTTGTCTATTTATAATTTTTTTAATTTTCTCTAATAATCTTGATTTGTTGGTTTATCATCTATATTTTTAATTATATATATACAAAGACATTGTTTCTTTTTACGAGACAGTCCTTATTCCTACCATACAACTAATAAAATATTTAAAATAAAAAATAATTAAAATTTTAAATATATCAAATTTATATTTAAAATTGTTTTAGATAACATATTTGAAATAAAATTTTATGAGAAAATAATTATTATTTTTTAAATCATATATCATCTAAAAAAATTATGTATTTTGCGTGACAACATATGATTCATTAAAAATATATATCAACTTATAAAGTTTATAGATATAAAATTATTTTATAATTATTAAGGAGAAGTAAAAAATATCTTATTTTGAGTTTATAATTTATAAATTATAAACATCGATCAAACTCTTTCATTTTTTAAGATGAGATGATATATTTTAAATGATTTGACAACCGTATATAACTATTACCATAATATCAACTTTAACAAATTATAATTATAATATTATAACAAATTAGAATTATAATATTATAGTTATAATTATTGAAGAGGTAAAAATAAAATTCAAATTTATGTTCTGTAATTATAAACTATCTTCTCCATTCATTAATACAAATTTTCATTTCTAATATTTGTACATAGAAGAATATATAGTATAAAATATTTTAATGATATTTAATAAAACTATTGTTTATAATATTATATAATTTATAAACATGAAAATTATTCTAATATTATATATATATACCCATAACAAGTTCAAATTTATTCTTAAATTTTCAAAAATGTCGTCTTATTATTACAAATTCTTTTAAGTCATAATAATCCTTTAAAATAATGGTTTTGACTTTTATGTTTTTTTCCTTTTTAAAAATACTAAATATAAATTATTATTATTATTATTATTATTATTATTATTATTATTATTTATAATAAGCTAATTAACATAATTAATTATGTATATTGTATTTTTTAATAAATTTAAATTTAACATTATATATTCTTGTTTAACTTTATTTTTCAATAAAACAAAATTAGTTTCACACTTTATTTATTACATCAATAACTTTTATATTATATAAATATATTTTAATTAAAAATATTTTATTAATAATTTACACAATAATAATATTTATAGATACATAACAAAAGACAATATATTTGAAAAAAATAAGAATTATTACTTCAATCAAAATTTACAACATTTTTTATTTTTTATTTATATATAGTATCTTATTTCTTGTGTTCTTCTTCAAAAACTATTTTAAATTTTTATTATGATTTATAATTTTTAAAAAAACATTTTTTTGATTAAAAGATATTGATTTTAAACATTGTTTTAGTTTTATGGGTTTAAGTTATGAATCATTTTATTATTTATTATTCACATACTATTATTTATTAAAGAAGAAGATTGAAAGTATAATGCTATTCTAATTTTTATATCATAATAATAATAATATTATTATTATTATTAAAGTCTAAAAGAATATAAAATAAAAGGAACTCAGATGGAATGCAAATAGATAATGTTAATATAAGATGGGTTATTTCTAAAATATAAATACTTCACTAAAGTTCAGCTTAATTATTTTATTGAAATATCACTACTTCAATTTTTTATTTTTTAATAATTTTAATCTTATTCGTTTTTTTAGAAAAATGTAAATAACTTTTCATTTCTTTTAAACAAAATAACAAATTATTTTTTAAAAAATAATTTGTAAGAATTCTTTTATACACCGTCAATATGATAATTAAAATAATTGTTAATGTTGAATAACATTTTAAATAATAAAACAATATAAATCTCCGAAAAACAAATTTTAAAATTTTAAACTCAATAAATAACTATATTATATATATTTATAAACGTTCTAGTAAATATTTAAAATTCTTATATTTTTAAATTAGAGTTTCTTCCGGTTTTCTTATCTTCTGGTGTTCTTCTATTTAAGGATAAAATTAATTGAAAAATATTTTCTTGAAATAAATAAATTTTAACTGAAAATTATTTATGTTTATTTGTGAATTATTATTTTTCTCACGTCATATCCTATAAAAGAAACTTTAGAATAAACATTAATATTAAAACCAACAATAATAAGAACCATTTAAGATTAAATATTTTTTTCATAATTTATTTAAATATAAAAAAATAATTTTTACTTTATATGTTATTTTGTTATTTATGAATAATTAATTCTATTATAATTTAAAAAATATATTCATTTTTTAAATTAAAAACATAATTTATTAATTCATAAAATAATTTATTATTTTTTATTATGCTATTATTTTTATTATACTAGTATTTAAAATTTACTAGCATTTATATTCTAACTTTATTTCATATCAATATTTCTTTTATATCACAATTTTGTAATTTAATACCACTTAATATTCTCTTAGTGACATGCCATTCAATTCACCATTTAAATTAAAATTATAAAAGTATATTAAAAAATTATTTATAGTTTTAGTTGAATTATTTAAAAAATTATTAAAATTATTTCTAAAAATATGTCATCTAATTAATTCAATTAAAAAAATTTAATTAGGTTGGATTATCATTTTAGTTAATTAGGTTGTAGATTTCAAACTTCTTCGTGATAGTACCGTTGACTCTTTGATGGAAGTTGAAAACGGTTTCTTCATCTACATTTTTATTTTCCTCCTTAATATCAAGTTTCTTCAAGAAATCTTTTTCATGTTTTTTTTTTTACTTTTCTTTTATATCTTCGTTTGTAATCAACTCTTATTTCATCAAATCTAAAGTGAAACTTTTTCCTTTTATGTGAACTTTGAATATTTCCAAGTTATTTATATATTTAATCACACAAAGTTTGTATTCAAAAGACACCTTATAACTTTTCTTCAATAATTGAGCAATACTTAATAAATTATTATTAATATCAGGAACATATAAAACATCAAAAATTAATTTGATACCCGAATGACTTTTAACTGCAATTGTTCATGTTCCTATACCTTTCAGGTCCATTTGTTCTCCATTACCGATTCTCACTTTAGAAATATGTGATTCTTTAAACTCTTTGAAAAGTTTTGGATCATGAGTCATGTGGTTTGTATAACCATTGTCTATAAGTCAACCTGTGAATTTGTTGTTTGTAGAGCATGTTGATGCAAGGAGAACCTCTTCTTCTACTCTATCCTCTATAACTTGAATGACTTCCTCTGGTTGTAATTTGCATATCTTTTCTATATGTCTCAATTGACTATATTTGTGACATTTCACATTAGGCCTCCACCAATACTTGTTGGGTGTGTGATTATTTTTCTTGTAATAAGGACAAACAAAAAAAGATTTGTGATTTTGTACCTTTATTATTCTTGGCTTGGAGAGAACAATCATCATGATATAGTAAAGAACCTTCACCGGCAGCATGATCTTCTCTCATCAATCTTTGTTGCTCTTGTGCTTGTAAAACATATAACACTTCTGCCAAAGTAATATTAGATAAATCCTTTGTATTTTCCAATGAAGTAATAAATACTTCATATTTCTCTGGCACAATTACCAAATTTTTTTCAACTATTCTGGAATCATAAAATTTCTTGCCTAACAATTTTATTTTGTTAGCAATACCTAATAATTTGTTTGAGTATTCATTAATTGTTTGAGACTCTTGCATCTTTTGTATCTCAAATTTCCTTATCAAGTTTAGAACTTTCATACCTTGAATTTTCTCATCCTTTCATATTGATCTTTCAAATAATCTCAAATTTCTTTAGGTGACTTTAGCGTCATGATTCTGGTGAGGATCATTTGTGAAACATTAACAAACAGACATGATTTAGCTTTTGTCTTCCTCGTTTTTCTTTCTCTGAAATTTCATTTTAGCTATGATGAGATTTTTAGGTAGTGGATCAACAATATAATCTTCTTCTACAGCTTCCCATACATCTAATCCTTGAAGATAGGATTGCATTCTCACAGTCCATAAATCATAACTTTCGCCATCAAAAATTGAAATAGTGACTTGTGAAAAATTTATTTCTCCTTCCATTGTATCGAACCAAAGCTCTTGATACCCATTTGTTGAGAATTTTTAGAGTTTTATGTATATGTATTTTTTATATATCATGTAAGTATATTTCTATTCATATACTCTATCTATATATAAAGTAAAAATATTACAAAATATCAAATATCAATAATATCTCAATTATAACTGCTTAAATCAAAATAATAACCTAATATTTTTTTACCTTCTCCCTTAAAATATAATAAAATCTCTTAATACCTAATTTGAATAAAAAATAATAAAATAATATTTTCAATATTGTTTTCAATCAAAACATAATATGTAGACAATCTCATTTATTTTCAAAATCTAGGTATCATCCCATTTTCTAATAAAGTGGCGCAAATTAATTGATTACCATTTTGGAAGTGATTCAAAATTAACTGTTGCCTATCTATCTACTTGTATATCTATATATTAATATAACAGAGAAAACGTTTAAGAAACCAGAAAGAAGTAAATAATTATGACCATGATGTATCGTTTAGAAGCAGAGTCTTCTCTTACAGGCCTCAAGAGGCAGAGTGTAAAAGCATCCTAATTCTCTAACAATTTCTTCAATCAAATCCTTGCAGATATAATCCTGCAAAGCCAACCCAATTCTTCCAAGCTCTCGTTTTTCTCCCCATGCAACATCCCTACACACTTCATCCACACTTTTGATCATGGCTTTGCTACTCCACATCACCAAATGCTCTTCGTCGTTCACTTTCTTGTTCACGGATTCGCATGTAATTCTCTCGTACATGTATGTGCTGCTGATTTCTTCCTCTCCTGGCTTCTTTAACACCTGCTGTTTCTGTTGCTGTATTCGTGCTGTACACAAAAATCTCATCATCATCATCATCGTTAATCATATTACGTTTTTAATACACAAGTAAAGAATTGGATAGATCAACCATATTGTTGGGATAAATTTATCATATATAGAAATATTAGAGACTATCTGGTTTACTTTTATTTATTTTCTGAGAAAAAATATTTGAAACAAAATATGTATGAAAAATTAGAGAAAAGAATACTACAATTTTTGCGGACTTCTATATTAATTATATTAAAAATCATATTAAAGATCATTTATAATTACATGATAATATAAGGACCATTCTATGATGATATATCTAAAGTGATGTACATTTTGTACAGAAAATTGGACATGTCCACAAGTGATGTCCCGCATGGATGTATGTAGCAGCAGCAGCAGTGGGTACCTGCGCAGGCAAGCAACAAGGTTCTTGGTTGTTGGGGAGAGGGTGGTTTGGGTGGGGCTATAAATTAACAAAACCCTGAAAAAGTGGGTTGCTGCATGGCAGGTAAAGCTCCAAAGGTAGGTGCCTTCTTTTCTCTCTCCACCCTCCTTTTTCTTTTCAACATCTTTTGACTGCCTCAATTCATGAGGCACACTCTCTCTAGAGTGAGTACTATCAAGTGTGGTCCAACATCCATCAACCAAGCTACCACATTTTATTATTTTGGAATCAGAAAAAATAAACCATCCTATGCGATTCTTAAATTTTTGTTTCTAGCTAAAAACATATAGTAATTGCTTGGTAGAGGACATGAAATATTTTTATCTGCGGTGAAACGTACATAGAAAGAACATTTGGAAAAGCGGAATTATTCATTGTTTTCATTTTAACAGATAGCTGTGGGTCACTTTATGTAAAATTGGGTGCAGGATGATTGCAGTGGTAAGAGGGAATTAATTTGTCTCCCACTATGGTCATGATGGTGTGGAATACAAAGAAGTTATGATTTCGAAACGTGGAATCCTAAAAATCATGGGTAGCAGTAGCATGTGCTTTTCCATCAAAGATCATTGTCTCTCCTCTTCGAGGTTAAGTGGTAGTAACTACTTTAACACCATCAAAGTTAATTACAAAATATGCTTCTTTCCAGCCTAGGGATTGTGGATGTCCTTTCACAAAATGACAACTAAGATGGTTGGAATTGGCAATATGGTATATGCCACGTATATATTGATTCTAATAATAATTAAATAACTTCACTTTTGACTTAGCATATTTCAACTAGTCCCAAAATTAAAAAGGAAAAATTTTTGCCATGAAAATCCAAATATTGACAAATAAGCTTAATTAGCTAGCAGTGCCCTCTCTTTTTCCACTTTAGTCATTTCATACCTAACAAGGGAGAAAAGAAAATACTTTTTGAAAATTTACATATCAACTTTAAAAATGTGAAGAAAAAAAATGAGATGAAAGAGATCAAAAGGGAGAGGTAATCAGCTCATGTAATGATCTAATTCCTATCTTATCCTTAAAAATCTATGCATATAAAAATCTATTCAGGAAACATCTGTTCAAACTAGAGTTTATATACTCATTTTTCTCAGGATAATAGACTCATTTTCTCCTTCTCTTCTTTTCTTTCTCTTATAATTATTATCATTATTTCTCTCGTCGTACCACCTAAACCCCCCCCCCCCCCAATACGATGATCATTGAGTATTATCAAAAACTAAAACTAATTTGCTAACTGTGTGTTTGTGGGAGAATTGCGGGAAAATTGATTTAAAAGAAAAAGTGATATTTTTGTGTTTAGATGTATTTATTCTAAAAAATTCGTAAATTTGCAGAAGAATTTTTGTAGTTAACATAAAAGCTCAAAATCAGTTATAGAACCAAAATACATTTAATTATATAGAACCCACTTAGGCATTTGTAAAATCAAACTCAAACTAAAAAGATTAATAAGTTATTAAGCTATACTCTTAAAAAAGTGTAGGTTTTTAAATGAACGAAGCTAATTACACTTCTTGAGTCCATGCAAACGTAGCATTAAACTACTTTATTATAAGCATATATCTTATGAAAGAGTAATTACAAATAAAGAGAAATTAAATTATAGGAGAAGATTTTTCATATGCCACTTAATCTTTAGTTAAAATTAAAAATTAATGTTATTTTATTTTTAAAATGATAAAAAAAATGCTCAATGGCAATGGATTTGAAGGTTAAGAGCCTTACCAAATGTATGCCGTCCCGAGGGGCAACTCGGACTGAGTGGCGAACGAGTGAACTCGTCGAGCACGGACACCGGACTCGGTTGCTGTTGCTCCCCATTAACCACCGAACACTTCACCTCCGAAACCGTCCTCAGCTTATCTTCCAAGCCAATGGAAGCCACCACCGGTGACGGCGACGGAGACGGAGCTGGAGACTGAGGAGGAGGATCCGCCAAACGCACGGCCTCGATTATCTTCTTCAGCGCTTTGAGATCCTCGTCGCATCTCTGTAACGCGCCGAGCAGCTTCTGTCTCTTCTCCGCCACCGAATCCGGCGGCGCCGGAGCAGCCTCTAATCCCATGAGCCTCACTACAAGCGCCGGCGCCTCGCGTCGGCTCTCCGTCGGAGGCGGCTTCACATTGGAGCGGCGAATCTCTGGCGGCAACGTCGGGCTCCTCGGAACCTCGCTGGACAGATTCCGCGCGGCGGCCTTAGCATTTTCCGGTTGCGAATTTCCGGCTGCGGCGGGAGCGGGATTCTTATTAATCTGCCTCTTTCCTGAGAATAAGGACAAAGGAAAAGAATATTGTGTGACTAAAATTTCCCGAGAAAGAAACGAAACAGATATGGTGTGGGCCCGGAAAATACAAAACGAAACGCACCGAATGTGAGGAAGCGACGAGAGCGACGCGAATTGGAGTTGGAGATGAAGTGGAGAATGCCAGACATGCACCCGATGGTTTTAGCGTGAAGCTTCTCCGGCGGAGCTTCTCGCCGCGACGACGACGGCGACACCGCACTAGTCTGTCGCTTCATTACTCTGTCGGTCTCTCTTTCTTTCTTTCCTTTCCTCGTTTGACTCGCCTAACCCTGTGTTTGTGTAAAAGAGTAACGGTTATGACAAGAACAACGTAGCCTAAAGCGAATTGCACGTGGAATGTTAATTATCATGTTCGGTTACTTTTTTTCTCTTTTTTTTTTTTCTTTTTCTCTTTTTTGGTAATTAATTTGGTGTAATTACGCGTCTCCTTTGTATCTTCTTTTATGATTACTCCATTTTGGTTTAGTTTTGTAGTGAACAAGTATGATTACACCATTTTGTTTATGGCAATGTGTTTTCAAGTAATTTTGTTTTTGTTGTAGGAATGGATGATGATGATGATGATGTAGCAGCGTAGTGATTGGGTGGTAGTTGAGTGAAATGAGGGAGTGAGGTTTGTTGCACGGGATGTGAATGAGTGGCACCCCCAAAGAAGGGAAAAGTAGCAGTGAAGGAGTGGTTATGATGAAAATAAAATTGTGGCAAAGGCCAACTGGTCAATTGGCCATGTTTTGGGCATCCAATTATGCATGACACTCATTACTAACATGGAGTGAGGCCCCTACTTGTAACCTCCTTTCAATTATCAATAAACTAGTTCAACTTGCAAATCAATATCTAAATCCTGTCTACACTAGTTTTTATTTTGAAGTGATGGATAGCTAAATTAATGGTTTTAATCCAATATTATCCATTCAATTGTTTGTCTTAGTGTTCGGCTTTTGGTCTTCTCAACCATTCCTCTTATTCTACTCACCCATCCACTTTATATACATACAAATATATATTTTGTTAAAATTGATAAAACGTATTTTCTCTTTGCTTTTGTAACTTTATTCTCTTAATAAATGCGTTAACTAAATTTACAATATTAAAGTTTTATTCTTTAACTCTTCAATTTTCTTATGTTTATAAGAAATATACTATTATTCATAAACTAAAAAAATAAGTATATTTTAACTGATGCAAAAGACAGTTTAAACAATAGTCAAATCAAACTCAAAACAGGGTTTTATGATTACGATGTTCGTATAAATTTTATCATTTCTGAAATATCTTTCATTTAATTGGATTTTTTTATTTTTAGTAACTCTTTTACTATCGATGTCGAGTTTCAAGGAAGAGTTAGTTCCCAAAAAGTAGTTTATTTTAAATGAAATTAGTACGATTAATTGTTTTTAGCAATGTAATTACTTGTTATAACTAACATTTTTTTTAATTAGCATACTTTTTTTATTCAAGACCAGAGTAAGTATTAATAATTTATTATACAATCAAATTAATTTATTCTTAACTATTGTGATAAATTAATCATATTTATACATCTAATAATATTTTGTAGCGTCCATAACTTTATAATATTATTAATCAAATAATTTGATAAAATTTAATAACCATTTAAAAAAATTCTTAGTTATTTTCATAAATTCATACTTCTTTTTAAAATTTTGAGTTCTTCTTTTTTTGTTATCTTTTCAAGATTCTAACACACGAACTAGGAGGTAGATGAGAGTAGAATAGTATTGTTTAATCAAAATCTTGATTGACATAAGTTCATTCTTTTTTTTTTCTTCTGGCTTATAAATAGAGTTGTGAGTTAGGTTTGTTCGATAAAGTTGAATCTCTACTAATCTATGTGTATCAATCAAGTTTTTCAAGAGCACACCACAACATCATTCGTTAAAGTCCCCTTTTTAGGTTGATTTTTACCGAGAGAGCAAGATTTAAGCGAGGAAAGATAAAGTAGTTAAATGCTTATAATACATTGGTTAGATGATCTAAATGAATTGGTACTATAGCTTGGATTCACGTTGAATTTGATAATTTGCATAGAGTTGAAATTATGAGTTTGGTTTAAACGTTGTGGAAATTTATTTGAATTTGGTCATAGTTGGTAAAAATATGTTTTGAACCAAAATGAAAAATTATGAGATTAAATGGAAAGTTATTGATATGGATGCGTGAGTTAGATTATTTATAGTTAAAATTGTGATTACTAAGAATTGGATTAGAAAAACAACCTTGTGAAAATTTTAATTTAAATTATGTTATTTAAGTTTGTATTAAATTAGATATTCAGTTATTGTGTTGCATAGAATTTCATAATTTTAGATAATTTGGCTACAACAAGTTTTAAATGAAATAAGAATTTTTATTTAAAAAGGTTGGATTAAATTTGAGAGATTTTGGCCAATTTAAAATAATTTTATGAAATTTGGAACAACTTCTATTTCTTCAAGCAATGTAAAGGCAAAGAAGAAGGGTTAACCTCTAAAAATTCAAGTCAAATGCTTAAGCGACTAGCAAATGTTAAAAATAAGGAATTAACCAATGATGTCTTATTCAAACAATTATCCAGTATTAAGATGAGAAAATTATGAAAAAAAGAGAATTCATATAACAATTATTTCTCTTCTAACGAATACACTTAAACAAAATACTAATGGAGAAGAAATTATTATTCAACAGTTATATCGTTCAAACAACTAAAAGAAATCTTCCCTTCTTAGAATACTGTGTTTATTCCTAAAAGTGCATCACTCAAGTGTGAAAAAGATGTTAAATTGATTGTTTGTAATCCAAGTGACAAACCATAAGAGAAGAATTTAGTTAATTTTGAAAGAATATCACACAAACACATAGATAATCACTTAGAGGAATGTAATAAAGTGAGAGATGTAACGAGCAATCTTGACTATTGTAGTAACCATTTTATTAATAAATAAGAAATAAATAAGAGAGTTTTAAATATATAAACAAGTATATTTAATAAATATTAAATTTAGGGAATCAAAATGTAAATTATAAAAGTTTTATAACTTATTATTATTTATGATTTTGGCCCCAGATTATTATTCAAAGTTTTGTAACTTGCATTTTGATTATTAAATATATCTATTTGTATATTTATAAATTTGACATCTCACATTTTTATTTTTTTATATTTATTTATTAATAATATATTATTTATTCTCTTAAAATTAATAGTCAAGATTTGTCAGTGTAGGGAGGGAGAATCATGATCCCTCACCTCCAAATAAGGTCCATCATTGTGAGATGTACTTATAGATAATGAAGGAAGCTTATATTGAGTGATGAATTATGATATCATAGGAAAAATTATAAATAATTACTAAAGAGTATTATTGAATTATGTGAATTAAGTAGATTGATTTAATAAAAATTTAAACTATATTAATAACTCAAGACATATAAATGAAAATATCAGGACAATTGTTAAAAAAATTTACTTTGTTTCTTTTATATATATATATATATATATATATATATATATATATATATATATATATATATATAATTGGATTAATGAGAATTACTTCATCATATAAAAGTTACCTTGGTTGTTAAATGATAACATGAGATTATTCTACAAAATCATATGTCTATGTATGAAATATGGTAGGGATTGTTTGATTTACTTTTGTTTTTCATTTTAAAGATCAATTTGTTTGAAAATATATTTTAAAAAAATGTCATAAATAACCATGGAAAATCATGACAAAAGTTATAAACTAATTTAAAATATATTAATATAATTATTGATAAAAAAACTTGATAAACTAAAATAAAAAAAATTATTAATATTAATTTTTTAGTTTTGAAAAACTAAAAAAACAAAAAATAACTTTTAAAATTTGTTTTTAACTAAATAGTTCTTAGACATATTTTTTTAGTTTTTAAAAACTAAAAGATTAAAAATTATTTTCAAAAAATAAATAAATAAATAAAATCTTAATATCTAAATTTAAAATATAATTTTGCAAATCATTTAGTATGATGTGGCTGGTATTAATAAATAGAGCTCCAATAGACATTATTCATTTTATTTTGTGGCTACCGTACAACATGTGGAACTTAAGATAACATTGTAGGTATTTTAATTTATACTATTTAAGTATATTTTATTTAAATATAATGTTGATTCGTTATTTTATTTATAACTATGAAAGATATATTTCAATATGAAAATAAATTATATTTACATAGGAAAAATTGACAATTATAAAAAAAAAATACACTAGAAATTTTGACTCAATAGTCTAAGCTTTTTCAATCCACTTAGATAAAACTTTAAAATATAAATTGAAATGAAAATTTAATTACTTCCCAATACATAATTCATACACCCTCATATTAATCCTTGCATGATCTATTAGGTCATGTGACCTACTTAATTTATGACGTTAGGGAATACACTAATTCTATTTTTTTTCGTACCTTGTATCAATCCGTGCATTATTTATTAGGTCATCTGACTTACAAGGTAAGGGATACCTAATTTTATTAAAGCTATATTTATTTTGGAAGCTAATCTTTCATTCCTCAAACACAAGATATCCAACAACAATGATATTTTTTAAAACCATGTATTTAATTAGTAATCTATATATGTATTTTTTTTCAAAAACAATTAGTACCCAATTTACCATAAAATCTAAGAGGAGAATGATGATGGTTAAACTTTTCCTTGATAATAATTTGTATGAAAGGGTTTGTAGGCTTTAATCCTAAGGAAACCTAGCAATACAAATTGAATACCATGTCAAGAAAGTAGAATAGGAAGAAGCACATGGTTTTTGAAACCTTGGTCAATCTAAAGAAAGTAGCTAAACATAGTAAACGTTGACTGCAAAAATTACATGATTACAAAATCTATCTGAAATTTAATTTGATGATGATTGAATTAATATCAAAATATATAATGGTTATATCATTTAAAACTTAATATATATATATATATAGATAGATAGATAGAGAGAGAGAGAGAGAGAGAGAGAGAGAGGATATGCATGGGAATTTAGAGATATAAAAATATAATCAATGGAGTACCATTGCTTTTGGCTTATTCCATGATTACCATTCATAGCTTAAATCAAAATCATCGATTTTAAATAAAAAATGAAAAGAAAAAATAAAATAATAATTATTATTATAAAATGATTATAGTCATGATCTCATCGATGTGATTGAGTTGTTGGGTTGTCCAGAAAACGAGATTGCATTGCTTCAAGAAACGCTGGAATTCTGTTGCAAAAGAAGAGTTGTGTTATGCTTATTATACCCAATTATAAAGCTATTTTTCGGTAACAACTGTTTTGGGAAAAAAGACAAAAGAGAATCATCCATTTGTTTGATTCTCATGTTCTTTTTTTTTTTTTTTTTTTTTTTTTTTACAAAATTAAAACTTATTTTTGAAAGAAAAAAAAAAAGAGTTAGATAACATCCTTTTTAAAAGAGCTAGAAAAATTAGAAAACAGCTTAAAAACACAAAGTCGAACATATTTTATATTTTCAAAAAAATATTTTTGTTTAGAAATTATCACAAACTTTTCAAAATATTTACAGCTCAATGTCTACCCAATCATATACTTTTTTTTCTCCTCCCATAGAAAATAATGGTTAACTTAATTTGATCCATAAATCATGGGTTCGTTTGAATTATCCTTTGTGTGTGAAAACATCAAAGTACTCGATTGATCGGAATTAATTGCGTTTTTATCTTTTTAATTTTTTTTACATCACTTTTATGATTGGTTGATAAGGGATTTTATATTATTTAGACAATTTAAATATATTAAAAAAAATTAAATATTAATTTTTTTAAATGATTTATTTAGATAAGGACATTTAATTTTTTTTAATTGGTCAAAGTATTTTAATTTTTATTAAATATACAAATTATTAAAATTATCATTACTATATCATAAATTAGGCCCAATTCACAATATTTGATTTTTATTCACATAGGTAAGATTGAACTGAGATAGATAATGACATATTAGATTAAATCAAGTGAGATCGAGACAAATCAAATTGATAAGTCGAGTCATATCAAAACAAATTATACTAGATCAAAAATATTAGGTTGGATGAGTGAAGTCGTATTTAATCGTGTCTGTGATGAGTCAGACTAGGTCACATATCAAGTTAAGTTATGTGCAAATGATTTAGGTCGGCTAGTAAGTGAATATGACATATTAAGATTAGACAAGTTGGGTCAAGACAAGACAAAATATGACACAATTCAAGAATTTTTTTTTTCAGATTTTTCCAAAAATGTTTTGGAATAAACTTTTTAGAAATATGTTTTGGAAAACTAATTTCATAATGTTTCCAAAAAATTTATGGAATACATTTCTAGAAAACATAATCTGAAAATAAGTTTTGGATTGTGTTTTCTATAACTCATTTTCATATTGTATGTTTTGAAAATGTATATCGGATCTAACAATCCAAAATTTATTTTTGGATTGTGTTTTCCATAATATATTTTCGTAAAAATAATTTGAAAATTGTTAGATATGTAATACATTTTTAAAAAATACAATCCATAAACGAGTTTTAGATCCCAAACTCATTTTTGGATTGTATTTTCCAAAATTGTATTCCAAATTCAACAAGTTAGAACATCATAAATGCAAATCAAATATGTTTTTTGGCAGAACTTTTGGATGCACATGTTGTACGATTCAAAGCATAAATCACCAACAAATTTCTAACTTTAATATGAAAATAATACTTGAATGAAGGTGCAGGAGATGAAAGGAAGTGCTGGTTTGGAGGTGTGACATGAAAAAGGAAAATTGACCTCAATGATATTTTTTTATATTTTACATATATTATGAGGTATAGAAGAAATTACTAGGGTGCATGAAGAAGCAACCTTATATAAAGATGAATCGAGTCATATCAAGATGAGTAAAATTGAAATAGGTTAGATTAGGGGTAAGTCAAACCTACTTTGTCAGTAGGGTCAAACCTAATCAAGAAAAGTTAAATTAATTTAGGATAAACACTAGTGTACAAAACCCTTTTTACAACAGAATACAACATTCATCGTACTACAATCGATATAATATAAGGCACGGTGACAAAATTTGTAAATAATGGGAGAGATACAACAACATTTGTGGAAGCAACTGGTGTAGCATCCCTCTTAAAGGAAAAAGGAAAGAAAGTAAGAGTCACAGGAAACATGAGAAAGAAAAGAGAAGCACTAGGTGGACGCGTTATAAGATAAGGGAGGCATACCAATCCATGTGTAATGTCATATATTGAGGGATCTCTAAAACGGTATATATTTTGATTACCTCTAAACCCTCATTACTTTCATCCTTGCCCCCTCCTTGAAGCTCACTTGAATAACACAACGTGGGCTCCTTTCATCATCGTCACCACCATTGTTGTTAGAACGATTAAGCTCCTTCGTCGTCCTTTCCTCACTTCCGACCCCCTAAATCCCTCTCCCCATCATCTTTAACTATGGTCATTACTAGCTTCCTTTCTCGGGTCCCTTCCAGCCAATGCACTGTCGTCATTCCAGAGAAGCTCTGTCCATGCATTAAGGATCGTAGACACTCTAAAACCAAAAATTGACACCACCTTCAAAGCACTAAACTCTCAGGTAAAAACAACCTCTGATAGACGCCCCCTCTTCGACATTTCTAGGGCTCGCTAGGTTTTCCGGTAGGAAACCAATCTCATCCCGAAGCGGTGCCTCTTCTTCGCCTCATCCAAATTCTTCTAATGGTGATGACACCACTATGAAGGTCACGTGTTTCCCTATGGGTTATCTTCCCGAGTAAGCTTGGGCCAGTTGTCAACGTTGACATTTACCTTTCGAAAGTCATTAACATATAGACAAATGAACCAAGACTGTGAATTGTTGCTCAACCTAACGCCAAAAGTTGCATTGACGCTTACAAAGAGAAGAGGTTGGGTGCATACTACACCCTTTTAAATTTTGATTGCTTTGGTTTGTGTTTATTCAAACTTTTCTGCTTGTTTTTTTTGTTGAGATTATTTAAACTTGGTTTCAATATTATTATCATGTTATATTTGGAGTTTTTGGCAATTTAACAGTATTGTTAGATCTTAAGGATTATAACTCTTGGTCCCATTATTTGGATTTAGTTTAATCAAATGTTTGATATTATTGTTGCTAAATATTTTATCTTTGTTGGTGTTGTGCATATTCTTATTGTTTTTACTATGGTTATGACTATTGTTATGTTGTTTTCACTCGTTTGTTCTCTACTACAACATAAGTTCAACCCATAATTGATGTAATACGTGCTTTCTTTTGCACTCATTGTGGTGTATTTCATATCGATTTATTGTGTAACCGATATTTTATAAAACACTTTTAGAAAGTGTTCATTTTCTACATCAGTTATTAAACCAATATAAAAGATTCAAAATAACCGATGTTACATCTTATGATTGTACTAGTGAAGTCAGATCGAAATGAATTGGATCAATTCAAGATAGATTAAATTATACCAATATAACATAAACTAGATCAAATACGATTAATACAAGAGGATTAAATAATAATCATAACGTATTATATTAAATTAATTTCTCATATTTTATTTATCTTAATTAAATTATGATAAGATGAGAATGAACAAAATAATGAGATACTACTTATAATTTTTCTTTATAAAAAATTAGCTAAAACAAATTTCCTATAAATTTTGATGATATAAAAAATAAGTAAAAGTTAAAAAAGAATGAATATTATTAACTATTTCTGTTATATAATCGTAAAATACGTAAAAACAACTATATATATAAACATAATTAATTATATTCATATAAAATAAAGTTGATTTGAAGCTTTTTATGAATATAACTAATTATATATGATTTTTCATTTTACTTTTAATATCTTTTTATTGTAATAATAAAAAAATAACAAAAAGTAAAATTATTTATCTAAATATTTAACTAATGAATAACTTTTTACTTTGTTTTTCTCCCTCTGTGAAAGCGAGAATTAAGGTCGCCGAAATTAATTGATAATGCCTCAAATGCACCTATACTATGCTATACAGCAATTTGAATCAGGTGCAGTAAATATTGACCTAATTGCTTAGTTGACCAACCAACAAGTTGAGAGGAAATAATTAATTATTAGCCGCAACTTTAAAGCATTTTGTATGTGCAGGTGTTCTTAAGCATCCTTATTTGATACACAGTACTAAATTTTTTAACAAATATTTAATTAGATGTCACGTAACAAATAATTAGATCTAGGCATTCAGGACCACTTAATAAAGAATATTAAAAAAATATTTTTAATGGTAAGAAACTCACAAATATTAATATTGCAAATTAAAACAGGAAAGGATGAAAGTAAAGTTTTAAAAACTGTAATTTTAGTTACTAAACTGTCAACATTGTTAAGGTGACTTTCGGGGAAAAATTGTGGACGTCCATAATCAGTTTAAGGTGACTTTCGGGGAAAAATTGAGGGTTTTTTTTTTTTTTCAAATTGATGAAAGTAGTGTAATTTGCTTTACTTATTCTTAGGGTAAATTTTAAAAAAATTTGGGATATGAGTAAGTGGTAGTTTGATATACAACTTCATCATGAAGTCGTGTATTACTTTGATTGAAGTAGAATAGAAATTGACGACTTCATGTGATAATTTGTTTTTAAGTCATGTTTTAAAATAATGACTTTAATATAATTTTTTTAAAAATTAAAGTTATTAATTAATTGATAACTTTATTTCAATTGTTTTTATATTGAAGTTTCCAATGAATTAACGACTTTAATTTAATTTTTTTATATTAAAATTGTTAATTGATTGATAATTATAGTTCTTATATTTTAAAATTATTTTTTTTAAGTTTTATTTAATATTTAAAAATAAATACAATAAATAAATAATTAGTATTTAAATGTCTATTATATGAAATAATTTTTAAATATATTAATTTTTTTAAACAAATGGATATGCTAACAAGGAAAATATATGTATATTATATAAAAAAAATGAAATTTTATATTTTCATTATTGAAATAGATAATTAATACGATAATAATTTTTATTAATATTATTTATTTAGAATATATTTCTCATTTTTATTGTAAGTGCCATTTGTTATTAATTTTTTTATTATTATCAAATTAAAAATAAATTTTAGATCTAAATAAGGAAATCAATAATATTTATTCTGAATTAGATGAAATTACATCTTATAAATCTTATAAAAAATTTATAGTTTATATACCGGATTAAACTTTTACTAAGTAAAAATACAAAAAATAATTTAAAATATATAAGTTAAAATCGTTAATTAATTAGTGATTTCAATATTAAAAAAATAAATTCAACTAAAATAATTTTAATAAAAAATTCCAATAAAATTATATATTCAAACACGAATAAAAAAAATAAAGTCATCTTTAATCAAAACATGACTTTTTCATAAGAAATCATAACAGTATTTAAATACACTACTTACCCATAATTAAAATTAAAAAAAATGTACCATTATTAAAATGATAAAAGTAAATTCACGAGAAATTTACCTATTTGTTTACTTTGAATCTATTAAACTGAGGGACTTTGGGCCACCAAATTATTTACTTACCTTCATTTTTAGCTTAACTAATTATATTTGTTTTGGAGTTATTATTTTTGAAATTGATTCACTTAAAAAGAAACGGACACTAAAAATAAACTAATACATTTTAAAAATAATTATTTATTTTTTAAAATAAAGAAAATGAAAATCAAATTTAATAAAATTTATCATCAACTAAATTAAAAAAAAAAAAAGGTAGGTAGTGCTATTATCAGTAGGGGAGCGAAAAGGCCATAATTCCCAAGCTCACGTTATTATTATTAATTTAATAACTATTAAATATATCTATTTATATAAATTTAACTTTTTACTACTTTATATTGATTCACCATTTTATATTAATTTACTTTTTATAACAATTTACTATTTATTAATATTATAATATTTATTAATATTATATTATTTGCTCTGTTACAATCAATGAATGAGTACAAATGAAAGAGAATGTAAATGATAACATTCATACACCAATATAAGGTTCTGGACTTAACATCTCACAAACTCTTGCACACATACAATCTCACATATCAGTGTTCAGTGCTTTCTTAGGTTAACAAGAAGATAGCATCAGCATTCTGATCACTGCAATAGAGGCATGGATGCTGTTCAAACCCCTGATCTTGTAGCAACTTCCTCGCCCTCACTACCACCTCTTTGTTGCTCAACCCACCCTCCTTATCCTCCCTCACCACCATCTCCACCGCGTTGCTGAACGCCCCATAGGCCTTCCCGCCGCCCGCGCTGGGGTTCATGTCCGCCGAGGTCTCGTCCGCCTGGCACCCGCTCAGCAGAATGCCCTCGTCGGGTCCCAGCGCCTCCAACTGACCATGCGACGCAGTTTGAAACCTCAAACTCGCATCCGAGCCGAAGAGTTCTAGCATGTGCATGCCCATGTCTTCCGTGGTGGCTTTTGTAAGGGAAGAGAGGTGCTGCAATATGGAGTGATAAGGGATTGTCTTTGGGGTGAGGGTATAACTTGTTTTTGATGTGGCACCTTTTTGAAGCGATGAGGATGGACCTATTTGCTCTTTCTCTTTGTCTATGAGGCCTCCACTGTGGCATGAGTCTGAAAGGATTGTGAAGCTTACACCCTTTGGTAGCTTGTTTACTAGTTGCCGGAAGTCCAAATCTGTATGTAACATCACAGTGTAAGTAAATATATCATGGTTTCAGAGAATGGTAAGAGTGTATCTCATGTATCTCATTGCTTCATCTGCCTTTTAACTAGGAATTACATGGATAAATTGAGATTATTAAACACTTAGGAAAACAGTTTATCACGTTTTCAACTTATTTCAACCAAGCATAACTTATGAAAACATATTAGCATACAAACCAGTGATGAGATTGAAGTCACAAGGCACAATAGCCTCCTCATGGCGGAAGGGGTGGCCATGTTTCTTGGAAGGGATTCTAGTTCCATGTCCACTGTAGTGAAAATATAGCACATCACCTGCTTCAGCTTCATCAACCATCTTAGCCAGTGCCTGCTTGATGTTGGCACCAGTGGGCATTTTACAAGAGTCTGGGGCATCAGTGAGCACCTCAATGTTACTGTCTTCAAACCCAAATCGCTTCACCAAAGTCTCCTTCATGGCCAAAACATCGTTTATGCAACCATGCAACTCATTGCTAGTGTTGGGATAATTGCAACCCACCAGAACAGCCACCCTCTTCTTCTGCCCCTCCATTTTGATCTCACTTCAAAGGTGTGAAAACAATGAAACAAAGTTTATCAGAAAGATTGGTTTTTCTGTGTGATTATTGCTCAATTGGTTTCCTCCATTTATTTGGCGGAGCATAGCATTTGGCTATCCCTTTGGATTTGCCACAAGCAACATTATGAGACGTTTGAGTTGGCTTAGAAGCTAGGGAACTTCTGTTTTTGGACAAAGGCATAGTATGTGTGAAGGACTTTGCTTTGGATTGTTATATGGGAAACAGTAGTTATGGTAATTTATGTTGCAGCATGTAAAATTGTTAGCTGCCGAAATCACTAATCACAAGATCAAATTAAAGATGCTAATTGGTGAACTCTAGTTTATCTCATTGCAAATTTGGATATAGAAATCTGCATAAGGGATTTTGCATGAAAGGTGTGACATTTTTTTTGTCAAGTTCCCTTTGTTTTCTCCTTTTTGTTAGTTTTTAAGTAATAAGTTTTGGCTTTGAAGTAGAGGTGTTAAAAAACCATCTTAAAAATATATATATCAGATCAATATGGTCTATATATTTTTAAAGTTTAGATTTGGTTTAATTCTAAGTTAAATCAATACAATATTTTAGTCCGTTTATATTTTAAATAATAAAAATTAAAACATGTATTTTTATAATTTAAATTATATTAATAAAAATTAAAAGTTTGTTATTAGATCTTCAATGTTTATAATTGGATCCCTCAAGCTAGTTTTTAAACTATAAAAATAGTAGAAAATTAAATATTAAGTTAATGTTTTTAAAAAATCCAATCACCTATTAATATAAACCTAAAAAAAAATCAAGCTAAACTTTATAAACATATTTTGTTTAAGACAAATGAATGAATTAATTAATCTTTTTTATTGTTGTGCTAATCACACAGCCCTTGCGTGTAAGTAAACCTCTAACTTGTAAATCACACAAGTTGTTTTCGTGCAAATGATGAACACCACACGTTTCCCATTCAAATCAAACTTTCTAACATGTAAACCATAAGTATCCTTCTTTGTGGCTGAATCATTATAAACATGGAATTAGTTTGATTTGAACAAAAGAAAGAAATCATATGTTTATATTTCATTATTGAATTGTTTTTTTATATATATAAAAAAATCCATGTTTAAAATGTTTCCATCAAGCCCAAGCCCAAGTCCCTATCTACAGCATCTGCAAATGTTTTTAGGCCCAAATGATAATAGTTTACAAGCCCAAGGTTATGTGTCCAAGCAGCATGTGTGGGATTTTGTGGTAATGATAATAGTATTTCATAACTCAGCACAAACAGGAACCCTAAATATTTGGATAGAAAATGATAATTTGATAGTTTCAAATAGAATGGAGTAGACTTGAAGACTTATTTTGTTTAATTTTAATAAAATAAGTTTTAAAATTAATACAACTAAAATCACAAAATTCAAAACTAAGGGATAAAAATATAAATAAACCTTTATTTTATTAGCATATAAAAAAATTTGATAGTAAATAAACTATAGACTTAAATTTATTCAGCTTTAGCGACATATAGCTTCATTAGTCACTTGAAATGAGTTCACCAACAAGCTATTGATTTATTGAAATGATTAAACTTTTGAAACTAATTAACATGACCTCAAAACCCTTTGGTTCTGAAGCAAATTTTAAAGGGGCCTATATGAGATTTTCTTTTCAACTTCTTGCACTAGACTAAGGTCATAACATAAAATTATTTCGCCAAGCTCTATCTTTCTTTCCTTGTTTACCTCACATTCATCAACACAATCTGGAACTAAGCTCCATATATTTATATACATCTAGACAACTGATAGGTTAAAATTTCATCATTCTGTGCAGAAAAATGGAGGCTCAGTTACATTTCAGATTCAGAATAAAAAAATGTTCAAAGATCTTTCCAAACATTAAAGTCAGTACTTGAGGCATTATAGTTTATAACATTGTCTTGACATCCTATAAAGAAGATACTCCGAACGGAATCAATGTTCAGTAGAGCATGAGCTTTGTCAACTGGACTTGCAGCTACAGCAACCTCATCTCTGCCAATGATCACTTCAGCATAACCATCATCTTCCTCACTGTTTTCCAACTACATTCAAACATTTTCCAATTCATCATTAACAAAGTCAGGGTGTGTGTGTGGACTGTTACTAATATAACAAACAATCTTCTTTTCTTATCATTTTAATAATCAAGTCATTTTCTTTTAAAACAAAGGTTACTTTTAATGTAGCAATTAAAGAAATTTACAATTACACTCTCTTCTCCATTCATAAATCCCTCTTAATATAACTTTTTTAATTAGATAATAATATAAAAATTACAATCATTCTATTTTAATTAAATTTTTTCAAATACACATGATTTATTTTAAAATGTATTTTTTAGATTTAATTACTTATTCAGTTTCTTTAATAAATAAACAAAATTTATAATTTACTTCCTAGCTTACATATAGATTTTAATATTTTTAGTCTTTATACATATTAATTTTAATAGTGTTTTTACTTTTTTAAAACACTGTTTTTCTTAATAAAATAAACTGATTTGTTTTATCTATTTATTTTAAAACATAAGTAGTTTTTTTAAACTTATTTTAATAAACGGATTTTGGATAACTATGTCTGTGTTTTCTTTTTAATAAAATAATCTGACTTTAGTTTTTTTTTTAAGTGCTTGTGTAATATGTTTATTTTTAAAATAAGTATTTTCTGTTATTTTTTTAAAAGCAAATTTTATCTGTTTCATAAATGAGTGGTTTTTTAAAATTACTTATTTCATAAATATTTATTTAAGTTTAAGGAAACCGATTCGATAACTAAAAATATTTTTAGTTATTTTTAATTTGGACAGTAAAAATTAATATGCTAAAAAATGTGTAAGAGGTATAAAAGAAATTAAAAATGGTACAGATAAATTATTTTTAAATATCATACGAATGAAACCAAAAAAAAGTTACTCTTCGTTACGAATAAGAATGTATAGCGAAAAACAGTTGAGTAAAGGATGATGATGTTGTTACCCTAAACCTGGTTGCAGCGCCCCAAATAAGGAAAGTCTCGTTACAATCGTGGTGTCTGTGATTGCCTCTCAGCTTCCCAGGCCGAATTTCTCCCACGTGAAGCGACGCACACGTCACAGCGCCACCTGCACAACACAACACAGAACAAACAACTCTTCAAAATCTCACTCAATGGCGAACGAAAAGATAACGCCAAACCGCGAAACGACGACGTATTGGAATAGCATCGAAGAACGGCACGATTGGCACCTGAAACGCCGGAATCGAGGGCGAGAGCGATAGGATCGAAGAGCCAGCCGCGGTTATCCTTGGCAACGTAGGAAGAGTGGAATCTGACGAGGTTGGCGAGGGCGTCGCGGTGGGAGGAGTGAGCGGGAGTGTGGGAGACGAGCTGGACGCGGAGTGAGATCCAGGCGAGAATGAGGAAGATGGCGAGAAGGAAGGGGATGGACTGCGGTCGCTGGAGAAACCACGTGACGAGGGAGGGACGGATCTGCTGCGACGTCGTCGTTTGGGGGTTTATGTAGCCGATTCTTCTCTGCGGCGTCATTGTGTTACTGTTCCTCTCTCTTTCTCGTTCTCTTTCCACCCTCATCTCTCTCCTTCTTCGAATTGGAAATGGAAGACGCTGCCAGTGTTTTGTTATCCTCTCTGGTTTTCTTGTGGATCAAATTTTATGCTGTGTTGCTATTTTGCATCGTGTTAAAACGAAAAAAGAAAAACAAAATCGAAAAATTTTAACTGGTTAATCACAGTGTAAGAAAAGAAACTTAATTATTTATAAAATTAAATCCATTTTTTAATGTAGTTGTATAGTTTTGGTCTGATTCTTATCAAATTTTAATTACATTGTTTAATTTTTAAAATTAAACAATTTTATATAATAATAATAATATATAGATCAATTAGTAGTAGTAAATTGTAACATGTTTATCTAAATAGCATATGTTAAAACCTATTTTTATGCATAAATAAATTTATGCATAAATATATGTTAAACCTTAAACCTTAATTCAAATTTTATAGGATTAAATTTACACATTTTTAAAGTTACATGACAAAAATGGATATAAGCCTTATAAAGGATTTAAAAAAAATATTGTGACAAACTTTTTTTTAAGGAATTACACTTTCTCTTGTATTAATACTATATGATAGTCACATATCTTTAAATTTATACTTTTAATTTTAAAATAAACACTTACCTCTCTTATCTTTTTAATAAAATGAATTTTATTTATACTTTTGTAATATTTATTTATATTTTAAATTTCTAATTTTTATATTTATAATTTAATCAATTTAAAAGAAATAAGGGAATGAAATAATATAAAAAAGGTGAACAATTATTTAAAATTTAAAAGAAAATAAATATCATTTTACTAAAACTTATGAATAAATTAAAAATAAATTATAAACTCGTTATTTTCTAAGTTAAATTTATAGTTCATTTATATTCAGTCATTTAAGTTTTGATTTTACTACTCAAACTTTTGTTCTTACCATTATCTTCATTTTATTACTCAACGAAGTTATTTAAAATCAAATAATTTAACTCTATGTAAAAAATAAAAAAGTGCATTATATTAGAGTAGGCAGTATATAAAGGGCAACCTAATGTCGAAGCTGACACAACACAGGTGCTATCACAAAGGGGAACCTGCAGTAGTAGGATAAGGAGAGGGTAAGGGCAGTGTAGTGCTCCAATCACACTATTCAAACTATTCTCTGTGAACCCTATTCTCTTCTCTTATACTCTTTCATTTCATCACTCTCTTCGTTCCTTTCTTCTTCTCCGCAATTTCATTTTCAAAGTTTTCGCAACAAGGTTTATTGTCTCTCTAAAATTATTATGTTGCCTTTCGTGCCAGTACTATAGAGAATATTGTTGTGAATTCAAGTTGCATTTCGTAATTGTGCTCACTCTTTCGTATATCTTGTTTTAACTGGTTAGGTTTTCTTGGTGTGCTGTGGAATACGGACCAAAACACCTTTGTTTCCGTATTCTGATTTTATTTTTCTGTTTCCTGTGTCGTCGTCGTAGAACATCTTCAATGGCGTCCCAAATTATCCGTGAGTGGTCTGGAATCAATACATTCGCTCCTGCTACCCAGACTAAGTTGCTTGAACTGTTGGGAAAACTTAAGCAAGAGGTTTTATTTTTATTTACCCTCTCAAGTTATACCTAAATTTTTGTGGTTATTGTTTTAATTTTACCGTTCTATACATGCTTGCTTGTTTGTTTTCTGTCGTACGAATTTCGTTGTTTGTGATGGTGTAGAATGTGAACTCCTTGACTATACTTGTGATGGGAAAAGGTGGTGTTGGAAAATCTTCAACTGTCAACTCCATCATTGGGGAAAGGGTGGTTTCGATCAGTCCTTTCCAGGTATGAGATGATACTTTCCTGTGATGGTCTTAGGGTGGTTGTTGTGCTGTTGTACGATTATTATGTTTATGTGAGTAAATTTGTTCTTTTGTTGCAAAGTCGGAAGGGCCAAGACCTGTGATGGTGTCACGATCAAGGGCTGGTTTTACATTGAACATTATTGACACTCCTGGTCTCATTGAAGGGGGATACATCAATGATATGGCACTTGATATAATAAAACGGTACGTGCTTAATTGCTCGTGTTTCTAATGTAATGCTTCACCTGTAAAGCATGTATGGTCTTAGAAATAATTTTCACTGTGTCTGCTTTTAATATCTACTTAACTTTTTTTTTTTTTTTCCTTTTCATGTTTTGTGGGAATCTGTGTTTGTTTGAGTAGTTTCCTTCTGAACAAGACCATAGATGTGCTGCTTTACGTGGATCGCTTGGATGTGTATAGAGTGGACAACTTGGATAAATTAGTTGCCAAAGCTATAACAGATAGTTTTGGCAAAGGAATATGGAACAAGGCTATAGTAGCACTCACACATGCCCAGTTCTCTCCACCAGATGGCTTGCCTTATGATGAATTCTTCTCTCAAAGATCTGAGGCTCTCTTGAAGGTTCTTAAGTCAGGCGCTAGGTTAAAGAAAGAAGCCTTTCAGGTATCTATCTCTGTAAATTGAATCTTTCATATCAAAACGCATCTAAGTTTGTCAAAATTATATGTAAGCATCTGAAGTTGCGCCATAGACTTCAGTGCTCTGTTCCTTGAATCGGCATGTGGTTTATCAATCCCAAATGGTGGTGGCAGAGTAGCCAACCACAAAACTGCTTTAGGGGGGGGGGGGATGTCAGACAGCAGGATCACTGCATTTTTCAAGATTGTAGTTTGAACTAAATATTTATAGTACACTGATATAAAGGCTCAAATATTTAAATTACATGAAGTGAAAGATATATTCATAATTAACAGTCAAAACTTAGTCTTAAGCTAAATACAGTAGTCAATAACCATAGAAGTCTATAAGGCAAACTAAGCCTTCAAGTTAATTGTCATAACTGTGTCAATAACCAATGAAAATTGAAGGCTAGTGACCAGACTCAGAAAAGATCACACCTTCTCAGAAGACTTTTTGTGAAAATTGAAAGTTGAGGATGCGCAAACTATCAACATATTACAGTTTGTGCAAACCAAAAAGAGGGTATGTAACAGCAAACACTTGGTGCTGGGGATTCATTATGAAATAGATGAGAGAACAGTGCATGTTGTGTGAATAAAGCTGCAATCAAGGTTTTGAAAGCTATTCTTATGAATAAAAAAGGGATGAAAACATGAAAGTAACCCCAAAAAGTTGTTAGACTAGGTGCAAGATGGATTTCACCCCCTTATTTGAGCACAGTGGTAGCTACAAATATTAATTGCAATGATTTTGTTGGGCATGCTTGTGTTGTGGGTATGACAAAACAACACGTTAACCCTCTGGTGCTGTAGTTTCTATAGCTGGGACCAGTTGCAATGCAGCACTTTGATGTGTGATAACACTGCTATTGATAACCATGAATTGGATTTCACCCCCTTATTTGAGCACAGTGGTAGCTACAAATATTAATTGCAATGATTTTGTTGGGCATGCTTGTGTTGTGGGTATGACAAAACAACACGTTAACCCTCTGGTGCTGTAGTTTCTATAGCTGGGACCAGTTGCAATGCAGCACTTTGATGTGTGATAGCACTGCTATTGATAACCATGAATTGGAAGAAAAAGATTGCCCATTCAGTTGATTATGTTTTCCGAAGACATTACCTTATCCTAGTTTTGTATTTGCATGGGGTGCATACATATTTACTGGTATTGTTAGCGTCCCTGCTCCATTTGTGAGTCTTGGCCAATTTATGTGTATGGCCATGTATTGGTCCAGAACAATGTTTTAAACCCAGATTGAACTGTCTGGATGGGCAGTGGGTCCACTGGATTTAAAAGTTGTGAATCAAACATGCATTGTTAGGTTGAACTAGTTCAATTTGTTTAAGATTTTGCACCAAAAGAATATACCCAGAACCTGGGTAGTACATTGGTAGGGTGGTGTACAACCAGAACATTTTGTTTCTCTTAAAAATACACGTCAAACTATTTTAAATTTGATATGTCTTTTCAAGCTTTGAGAATTAACCACTAAAGTGGCAATTTTAAAGAATTGAACCTGCACCCATAAAAGGTGATGGACTCCTACCTAGCCAGCCATACGAGTATATATTTCTCAGTATAGATTTTTCTTGTATAGTATGTAGTCCAATATTATGACTATAATATGTGTATATATGGTAATTAATGTGATAACAATATTTAATGTTAACTAATTGTATTATGTCATGAACCAATTGTGTTTGAAATATAATTTAATATTTCTTTATAATTTTTACTTGTATACATAATCGTTGGTAGTTAACTATATGCTTGGCATAATATCATTTATTTGTGGGATATACACTAATTATTACAGTGCCAGCTTGAGCCTGGCTCAACTACAGCCCAACCTCAAAACCTTTAACCTCTTTCTTTACTGGTTCATAGGTTTGTCTTGTTTTAAAATATTGAAGCATAGGATAAATATAGTTGTCCGCAGTGTTCTACAGAGGCATAGCAGTGGAGCAGCCAGACCACTATACTGCAGTGGCTGGTGTCTCAGTCACAGATGCTGATCACTCCCAAAATTTGGGACAATGCTGCCACTACTGTTTACTGAGGAAATTCCCTTAATCAAAACTATTATTTGTGGGACAAGTGAACCTATTTTCTCTCTCTCTCTCTCTCTCTCTATATATATATATATATATATATATATATGTTTCTTTCTTGCTTAGAAAAATATCCAGCCTTACGTTTAGTTTCCATTCAGTGTTTTAATAATTTTAATTTCAAGAATTGCTATCTGATTCTTTTTGAATATGCCTCTTCTCATGCAAATGTGTGTATAATAACTGATAATTTCCATGCTTTTTATCTCTCTCTTTTTGGGTAAAATCCTAGGCTGCTTCTATTCCTGTTGTTTTGGTTGAGAACAGTGGGAGATGCAACAAGAATGATAGCGATGAAAAGGTTGGATACTTGCTTCATGGCATTTACTATCTTTTTATTTCATTTATCTTGCTTAGTCTGATTGAGAGAACGTGTGCTTCTTGGTGTAAGGTTCTTCCAAATGGGACTGCATGGATTCCCCATCTAGTCCAAACAATCACAGAAATTGCATTGAACAAAAGTGTGTCTATTCATGTTGACAAGAATTTGATTGAAGGGCCAAATCCGAATCAAAGAGGAAAATTATGGATTCCTCTCGTGTTTGCTCTCCAAGTAAGCTCGTAGTGAACTTCGAGGTTTATTTTGTTTTCTCATTATACTGACAGGAACAATGTTCTTACTCTTCTCTTGTTTATTATTTCTCTTGCAGTATTTCCTTATTATGAAGCCAATAAAAGGACTGATCGAGAGGGACATTGCAAATGAGAGAAAGCCGGCATGGGAGAGACGTGATGCTGCATTTCGGAAGAGAGATTTTTATTAGCTGCATTTTGAAAGAGATTTTTATTATCTGCACTTCTGTCTGTGCCCGTGAAGTTCCATTAATGTTTAGCTTCCTTTGCTTCCACATTGGTTGAATTGTCTTCATCTGTTTGATGAGTGAACTTGGATGCTTTCCTTACGCTGTAATTGCTAGTAGTCTGCGGCATAGGAATTTAATCAAGACACTGAGGATTCCCTGTATGTTGGGAAGTTATTTGCTTTTTCCATGATTCAGTTTGTTAGTAGTTAATGCCTTGTAAACATAGCTCTAGATTTGACTACCATCGCTGATAGCTTGATATCCTACAAACTAGCCTGAAGTATCAACTATTTTTTGTGTGTACAATGGTCGCATTGAAGCAAAATCCTTTAGCTTCATGCATAGTACATAAACTCCTTGTCATTAAGCCGACTCAAATGGTTAAAGTAAAAGACTAAAAATGGGGTGTTTCCTCTCAAGTAGGAAATTTGTGGGGGTGAGTGCCCTAAAATTATGTGAAATATCGAAACTACTGTATGACACACCAGGGGATTACGTATTAATTGAGAGCTAATTTACTACTTTTTTGTCGTTTTTTCTTTAGTGCATTCAGTAGTAAGGGTTGGTTTGGTTTTGATTTTGATGGTTTAAATTGATATATACCCGTCAAATGACGTGGTAAATGTTGGTTTTGTTAAGTTACAGAACTGTGTTGATTCCTACGACATTATAGCATAATAAGATCAACGGTTTAGGTGATTTTGAATTGGTTTTAGTAAACTTAACGTCAAATTATCTATTGAATAGGATTTGTTTAAAATCATTTTAATCACAAAGAATCTAACGTGTTTTTCTTTTCTTTTCTTTTTTTTAAGAGGACAAATGTTTTATTTTTAACAGTCCAAAATTTGTGCTTTTGTCGTTACATTTGCGGTAAATTTATAATTACTTTTTTTTTTTTTAATGTTTGAAGGGGTTAAAAAAACAAAGTTTCTGTTAAGAAATAAAATAATATTTAACGGTCATGGAATAAGTAAAATGTATGGATTGTTATAAATGTCTGACATGCTCAATTTTTTAAATGATTTGAAATAAATAAAGATATAAAATTATAATTATATTAAAAATATATTGTGTTCCAAATATTATTTTTGAGCTAAGTAATTAATTGTGTTGCTTTCTATTATTTAATATATAATCTTACCCTTTTGACTAAACTTTTAGATCTCACTTGACTAAAAACCTAAACCAAAGATACCTTCGGTGATATCAAAAAATAGAAAGGGAGAATACTAAACTAATTTTTTTTATCTTATTTATATATAACTATTTATTTCATTATTTTACCATTGAAATAGTTATACAAATTGGTTTTTCCAGCAATGGATTGTAGCATGTTAATAACTTTGATTGAACAAATTTGTTATCAACATGACAAGTATGGCAAGTAATTTGCGTATAAGAAGTTATTTTCACTCCAAAAATTCAGAGAAAGTAACATTTTACGAAGGGAAATCATCCACATTTTGGTGAATATCATATATTTTAACAAGACGCGAGAAGGAAAAATAAAATCAAGAATCATGTCTACCCAATTATGAAATTTAATTTATATTTTTGTTTTGAAAGCACGAACATAGGTATGAACACATGAATGAAATAAAGTAATAGGAGGAAGGAGTATTATAAAATATATAGAATTATACAAAATAAAAGAAATATATTAATATTATTAGTCGGCCTCCACCAATGCAAGGAGGAATCTTCAGTCTTGGCGAGAGTTAAACGTCGTTGATTTCAAAGAGAAACGACGACAAACAAATACACCCAAAGAGCAGGGACACGTGACACGCGCGTGGGACCTACCACCTTGAGTAACGACACCGTCCATTTAAAACGCCGCCGTCTGTTCAATTCAACGCTGGGATTCATAACGGGTCTCTCTCTTTCTCTCAAATCCAATCATTTCCTCGAAGACAAAACAAAAAAAAAATCACACTCACAACACAAACACCACCACCAATCCCCAATCTCTAACTTTCCGAGAAATTTTCCATTTTCTCCCTCAGATTCCCGCAAAATTTTACAACCCTGTTTGCCTCCCTGAAATTCAATTATTTCTCGTTTTCTCCAATTCCAATGCGTCGATTTCGGGCTGGAGAATGAGTTCTCCGAGCTCTTCCCTTATCAGTTTCTTTAGATCTCTCTTCAAACCTTCCGCAATCCCCGCGTTCGGCTTCTCTTATCCAATTTTAAGTCTCGCTTAGGTAAATTCAATTTAAATTAAATTTCCTTTGTTAGTAGATTTCTAGTTTTGTAGCAGAGTTGTATTTTGGTCTCCATTAATTGACCGAAGGATATATTTTTTTTTTCTCTTTAAATTTTAGTTAAACGTGTTATTTATGTGAAGTCCATGGATGATGTATAGGTTCTAGTCAAGATTCTAAATAACGGTCCAATACCGTGATTGTGGGCCGCAACATCAAGGTTTTGTAGTGTTTTAGACTGGGTAGCAATTTAAAAACCTTAGCTCTAGTGCTTTGCGGAATTACCAATAGGATGGATAAAGTTTGATGATTTTGTTTTGTTGTTCTTGCAAAATTCAGCAGATTTCATCAATAGAGTGGGCTAAATTTGATGATTTTATTTTGTTGGTCTTGCAAAACTCAGCAGTTCTTTTTTTATGTTTTTCTTTTTTTTTTTCTTGTAAATTTTTATTTAGTAATATAACTATGTATCACGCAAAGAAGTTTTCGCCGGCTAGCATGGTGCCGTATAAATCTCAAGGTGGTGCTGAACAACTTGCAAATGTTGAGGCTTTGGGTGGATCTGCTGCCAAAAATGGCACACCTGCTGGAGGAAGTGGGAAGCAGCGTTTAAGGTGGACATCTGACCTTCATGACCGTTTTGTGGATGCCATTTCACAACTTGGTGGACCAGATAGTGGGTATTTCTTTTCAATGTTGAGATGAATAGACATTTTTTAGGGCTTTTTTCCTTGGTAATTTATTGTTGTCTTGCAAAAGCATGTAGGAAAGAAAATGCAAGATGGGAATTGCTTGTCAAATTTTCAAGTATGCAAAATGCTGTGAACAATTTATTCCTGTAACTGTTGAGATAATTGCTTATTTGGTTACTTGAATTCCAAGGTTGCATTGAGTTGCATACGAGTACAAAATACCATTGTTTGGACTGCAGGAATTTTCAAGTATGTAAAATGCTGTGAACAATTTATTCCTGTAACTGTTGAGATAATTGCTTATTTGGTTACTTGCATTCCAAGGTTGCATTGAGTTGCATACTAGTACACAATACCATGTTTGGACTGCAGGAATTGGATTCAATTTAATTTTAAGTTAGAGCTAATCTTTTTTGAAATTATAATTGACTAGGAAGTTTAATTTTACCACAAACTCAGCATATCTTTTTAATGATTTTTGAAAATTCCTCAGTAAGTGCCGATATTCCTTTTAAAAAAAACATAGTCGGATATGATACACATTCTTTCGTGAAAAAATAAAAATAAAAATAAAAATGGTGAGTCATGTTTAATCAATTTATACTGTTTCTTCCCTCTGTGGAATCAATTGTTTGGCATCAGATCTTGTCATTCGAAACTGCTGGCTTCTATCTTGTGTGCATGCCAGGCAGGTTGGCACAGTTTCCAGAACTCTAATTTTTTACTACCCTTTTTCTTCCCATTTTGGTATTGGCTTTTACTTCTTTAGCCTGAATATTCCTGGAAACTTTTTTAATTTATTTTAATTATTCGTGGCAGGAGCAACACCAAAAGGTGTCCTTAGAGTGATGGGTGTTCCTGGACTGACCATTTATCATGTTAAAAGCCATTTACAGGTATTATTGTCTGGTTTAATAATTTAGGCACGTGCACATAAAATGTCAACTTTTATACTGCATTTATCATTGATCCTAATTTCTCTTCGTTGATACAATTTTACGTAGAAATATCGCCTTGCAAAGTACTTACCTGAATCACCAGCTGATGGTAAAGGTGCCTTGTTTTATTCTTTTTCCTTGCTTCCCTAAAACAAATTAATTAGAATCTGTTGGATTTTTTAAAAATTGTTGTTGGATTTTTAGACTCTAAAGATGAGAAGAGGAATTCTGGAGACAGCTTTTCTGGCGCCGATTCTTCCCCGTGGGTATCGGAATTGTTTTCCTAAGATAATTTATAACTCCTTAATTGTCCTTCCTATTCTAATATTAAAACAAAACCTTTACGTCCTCCAGGGGAATGCCAATCAGTGATGCCTTAAGAATGCAGATGGAGGTTCAGAAACGTCTGCATGAGCAGCTTGAGGTTTGTTACATATCTTCATTTTTTTCCTAATTGTTGAGCTGTTTAGCCCACAGCACTCTACGCACGAAGAGCAAAACAGAAACAAAAACAATGCTAATCCATAATAACCTGCAATAATTTTCTTTCTGTATCTCCCTGATGATAGCATAGAGATCATTCCTATTCTGTTTAGAGTTCACACCAATACAGCAAAAGTTCTTACGTTATCTAATTTTACCTGTTTTATGATTAAACTTGGATACTCTACCTTAGCTATCCTTACATATATCATTTCCTTTTCACTTTCATGCATCGTTAAATAAAGTCAATTTCCTTATCTATAAAATAAGGATGAATTTTTATGTTTTGTTGATTGAATGAAATTGGAACATGTATCTTAAAAAGGAATGATTGAATAAACATTCACATATGGTTGATGAGTGATTGACCCAAATTTTAACTTGCAATGGAAAACTTAGTATGTTACTTATAATTTGAGAGATAAGTCAAGTTTACCTCAATGGTTAAGATATAATTTTGAATCTGTATATTCTTCATTTACCAAAACGTTTGGTACCAGTCTTTTAAGTACATTCGGTCAAATAGAAGACACTGCTGGCTTGTAGATTTTACGTAATTATTTGAAATACGCAAATTATATTTGTCTGTTTGTGAATGATGCATCTTTTGCTGGTTGAGTGGATCCATCACATATATCTATTAAATTAGTCTTCTGATGTGAAGAAATTATTATTTAGCCTCAGGTCTTGCGTACACCGAAAATAAGATAAATGATACTTAGTTTCATAGTAATGTGCTTCTACGAGTAACATTTGTGGTAATAATAAAACCTTTTATATTTTTTACAATTATATTCCAGGTTCAAAAGCAATTACAAATGAGAATTGAAGCACAGGGTAAATACTTACAAAAGATCATAGAGGAACAGCAGAAATTAGGTAATACTTTAACAACCTCTGAAACACTTCCTTTATCGCATGATAAACAAACTCATCCCTACTCGGAGGCTTCTGGATCTAGTGATGCCCTTCCAAGCACACTGTCTCCACATAAAAAACAGAGAATTGATGATGGTTCCAAGGATGGCTTCACTGCTTCCCATGTAAGAAAGACTGGACAAAAGAATGACTGCAATGTTGGTCAGTTGGATCCAAACTTGTATGATGATACTGGGTTTGGATTTGATTTGGAGACAAAGAAGGATGAAGATAAGGGGAGTGGACAGTAAGAATTAGGTTTCAGGTTTTATTTGTAGGTTATGTGTGTCTTCATTGTAATGTGCAGTGTATTTTTCTGGTAGAAAATACAAATCATGCTTTGTAAATTATATTTCCATACAATCCATTTGTACATATTAATGTAGATAGATGCATTCTCTCCTGTTGTGAGAGTCATAAAGAATGCACTCTCCACCTAACAGAAATGCTGTGTGATCATGGATGATGAATGTTGGGTGCAGGATACTTGTCGATGTTCTGGTTGCTGTAGTCCAAGTCAGTAGTATCAAATAGCTGTAGATATCATTGTTTGATCCTTCCAGCCAACCTAATCATGGGAGATAGCTTGGTTCTTATTGATGGAGATTGTAATGACAAGCTTCCCTTTATATTAATTTTCTTGCAGGTTAACGCTGTTAGCATACTTGGACTTGTGAATTTGATGATGCTATCTATCCTATATAATAAAAATGAAATTGTTAAATTTAAAACGGATTTGGTCAGTTGTCATCCATAAACCCTTGTTTGGTGCAAAATCTGTCCTTACTATGAGTACTAAAAAGAGATGAAGGGCAAATGTAGAATAATTTTATTACTTTTACTATAACTCTCAAATCTTAATAGATTCGCTAATATAATTAACATTATCATTTATTTAATTTTGTCTTTTCAGATCTCAAGCTGTGGAGCAATAATAGTAGATCTGAATGTCCATCTTAACAGAGTAAGAAAATTAAAGATCCAAGTTGAAAATAATCTGCTCCTTTTGCTCACATGTATTAACAGCAATTTAAATATATAATTTAGAAGTTACAAACCACTATGCTAGTTCAAAATCATGTTTCTGTAATAAAGAAAAAAAAAACTTTTTTTTATAAAATTTTTTCTTCGTTAAGGAGGAAATTAGAGGAGTTTTGGAATGGGAGTCTAGTCTGTAAAGCTCTGAAAAATATTTCTTGTTGAAAGTTGGTCTCCAAATTTAACCATTACAGCTTTATGTCACGCAAGATTTGGCTCAGTTTAATAGCAACACAAGAATGATCAAGACAATATAAACTCTAAATCCTAAACATTACCGGTTCTGGATGTATCCCCAAAGAACTTGTGGTCAGTTAACTAGTGAAACAATGAAAATAGAAAACTGATAAAGGATAACGAGAGTAGGTAGCATAACTACGCTTTTCAAAAGTTAAGACTTATCAGACATAGCCTTCTTGAGGCACTTGACATAACAGTTTAATAAGCTACGAACGTTCCTAAAGTTTCCAACATTACATGAGAACATAGGAATTCTACGCCATTTTGTTAGGGTTTTCTTATGTGCTGAAAATCAAACTTATCTGTCTTGAAAAGATCTTTGCTATATATATATATATAGCATCGAATCTCATTATGGAAAATCTATAAAGCCACACATTGAAGAGAAGTCCATTAAGTACAACACAATGTAGTTAGATCATAATTGTTTAAATGGGCTAATTAGTTAGAATTCAGTTCATTATAACACATTTAAAACCCTAATTTGACCTAGTTGTGTGTGTTACCTGGGATGTGACCATACATAATATAGTAACAGAAATTAGGGTTATCCCTTACACCTCCATAGTTGTGGCCAGCACAACAAACGGAGAACCATAATGTGAGGTAGCTAGAAGACACGTTCTTATCTATATGCATCCACTCTGATTCGTAACTTGACAATAAGGAGACAATTATTAGTCTCTTCTCTTGAATGTCCCATGTAACATAAAGTCTAAATAAAAAATATATACACCCCGTTTTATCCACCAAAAGCAAGATTACTATTATACATCACCAATGCACAACAAAACTTGCATCTAAAGAAGGGATGTAACATACTATTTCGGCCACCACCTCGACCATACTATCATCATCTATGCCAATATTGGGAAGTTGGCAGCTTCAGATTATATGAATGTGATAGTTGATAATAGCACTGGATGGTTTATTAGAGTGGTTTAACTATATAAATAAATAATGTTAATATACACTAGAAGAAAAATTTACTCTGTTCACAACAATTGAACTATTGTTCACTCATTATTTCATGATAATATATTATTAATCATGTTTCTTTTAGTCTAGGGTAGTGTTGTCCCACGTTATAAAAGATTTTTTTATCTATACTAACTGGTTCATCCTCTCAAAACAGGAACAACCTATAGAACATCAAACAATCGAGGTTCACAATTGCAATGGATGTGTGTCGATGTGTATTTGCAAACTTAATTTTGAAAGATCTTAGTTTTACAAAATTGATTATAGTAACAAATCATTTTTAAGTAAAATGGCTCATAATTAAAACTTCCATCTCAAAATCAAGTTTGTACTGGAAATGTAAACTTTTCAATACAAATACAATATATTGGGGTAAACCACTTATTAAATATGAGAGAGTTTAGAACGTTATCACATTAATTCCAAATATCATCTTCCAACACAGTTACTTAAATTTTTTTAGCTTTGAAGCACAAATTGACTTTGCTTATGCAAACACAGTTGCTTAAAAAAATTTGGACAAAAATACTACGTAGGAGATAAATAATAGGATAAATAAAATAGAAAGAATAATCAAAACTGAATAAGTAGAAACTCAAAATGACACACATGCAATTCTATTCAGATTTCAAAAAAATTAAAAGAAAATAGGATTCACAAAATTGGATTAAACAACTATTTTAGCATCTTTACCATTAGAGTAAATTCCATTGAACAATGTTTAAATTTATGTGTACATAAAAAATATTTAAACAACCATGTATTATGGATGCTCTTAAACTAGAACAGCCAAAATAAGTCTCTAGAATATCAAATGAATCCCCCAAACTCAACTATTTATGCCACTTGAATTCTTAATTCACCAAATTAACTTTTTAATCATGGACGTTTTTTGTGTGTGGGATAGTATTTCGCTTTTAGTCAATATACTTTTAGACTATAATACTAGAAAATTATACTTTCGGAGACTTTTTGGAATTTTCTTATTTTAAGGGACTCAAATGCTGTTTTACTGCAAAATACTATTTTTCTTTTAGTCAATATACTTTTAGGTACCAAAGCAATTTTGGTTTAAAACAATCATATTGTTATGCTTTTCTTTGGTATCACATTTTCTCACCTCAAACTTCTTTTTCAGTGTAGTCACCTCAATCTTGATTGGAATCGCCAGTCAATTTTCCAATCATGTTGTAGTTAGTAACCTCAAATCAAAAACCAAATTTATGTACCAAGGTTGACATTTGCCTTGGCAAAGGTGGGAGTACACCAAGTTGCTAGATTTCTCCTTAAGAAATTAGTATTAAACCAAAATGGTTAACCGGTTATATAGCACATGCAACCGGGTCATGAGTTGCACTGCACCCCACACAGAATAGTGCATAAGAAAAAGGACAAACAAAAGTGCAATATTATAGATGTTCCTGTTTATGTTCTTCAATTAAAATTGAAATTTCATCTCAATAACATGCATCAGCCCTTAATACTGACCTTTTAAGCACAAGTTACATAAAAAACTTCAATTTTAATTGAAGAACAACATCAAATCATCTATATTGCTACATCTAAGTTGTCCTTGAAAATGGTACTAAAGCTATTCTGTTTTCAAAATTAGACTAAAGCATGCTTATAGTGCTGAGTGAGTTGGAAGTGGAGCTTAGAAAATGTCCATATAGGAAAACACTCTTACAAGGGGACATGCTGAGGAGAATAAATAGTGGCACTTCCCAGAGAAAAATAGCTTTCCAAATGTTGGAAACTTGATTGCCAAACACATATATTGCATATGAGATCTATGGAAGTGCATGAAAGTTTGGTAGAAACTCATTTGTTATGAAGCCATCAAAGGGGAGCTGAACTAGTTCTGCGAAGCTGATGCATAGGATCAGGTGGTGGTGCACTTGGCAAAACCTTCTCTATCTCCTGCAAGAAAGATCATAAGAGAACTTTACTATGAGCAGAGATAAATCATCTAGAACCATCTCCAAAGCTGATAGATATAACTATTTTTGTGTGCTATTTTTCTTCAACAATGTAAATAATTCAGTAAATGGAAGAAAAAGAAGCACATAATTATGGTTGTTTAGTTGCAACCTCCAAATACTAGTTTACAGTATCCCATATTTTTGGGTCAAAGATCATTAAGGGTAAAACCATCCTAATCGAGAAGCTTGTCCAAGAAAGTTCTAAGATATAACTAGTGTTGATAAATTATGCATGCTCAGCTATTATTAAAATCTAGCTACAGATATTTCCTTTTGATTCCACAAAAAGGCAATCACAGACAACTGGCCTAAGCATGAACACATCATAGAAGTGTTATTTTTCTTTTTTATATATTTTAAAAGTATGATCATCTTTAGGATCTAAACACTAGTGATTTTCATGCTCTTCAGCTGAAGATTCATTATAAAATATTTATGACTGGTAGGTTCCCTTTAGTTTTGTCAACAGTAAAGCTACAATGAATAGATGGATGCAAGACCAAATGTTACATTAAAACTGAAGATAAACTCGTGAAAGGATTTATGCCAAGAGTGAGATGAGAATAATATTAGAACTACGTACAATCATATGTAGGCTCACATTATAAATTCATCCTTTTGTGATCAGTACAAGGTTGGGTGATTCCAAATGGAATTACTTAAGGCTACAGACATAGTTCTGAACTGACACATAATAAAATGCTTCAAAAATCTAATCATTCAAGAATACAAAACACCGAGAGAAAGCATAGATTTATGATCAAGATTATTACCATTCACAACTTTATGGCCATATCTTGAGGCCATAAAGTACTCCAAAGTCCAAACTAGGTACCTGGCTATCTTTACCCACAGTGAATCCATTTTAACAATTGAAATTCGCGTACCTCTCTACACTATGGAGAATATATTTCTAGATAAGGAAGGGAGGGAGGGCAAACACCTAATCTCAAGTTTGGAAACAATTTAAACGTTGGAAGTTAGTATGTAACACAAAATTTCTTATGAAAATTTAGAGCCTTTATCATACGTCCAACTTTAAAAAACCCTGATCTGTTCATTGTGCAGGTGTTCAAAATATCTGGCTACATTCAAGCACTAAATATTTCATTCACCTTTATCTTCTCAACCACAAACTCTATGATGAATCATCAACATGAAGACCTCAAACACTTTTGCGAGGGGCAACATTAGGTTGGTGTTCACCTATGGAACATAAAGTAACTCATGTATGAAATTAACACAATCAATCAAAATGAACATGTCCTGCAATCTGCATGTCTTCTAGGGCTAATCCCAAGAAAATAGGCAGAGACATAAAGTATCAATCGTCAAATAAAGAAGATTGAGAGTAATGTATGCACAAGGAAAGAAGAAACCAAAGAACAACAGAAAATATGACAAGACTAAAAGCAGCCCACCAGCCTAAGGTCATGGCCTGCTTCACTTCAATAGTGTAATAATTAAAAAGAGAAGAATATGAAAATGAAAAATATGCTGGCGAAACATGAAAGTTTAGCATTAGCGTAGTAGTTGATAACAGATAGAAATCACCTGCCTTCAAAGACTGTCTCCATCCTTGTTCCCTCCATTAAAAAGTCATCACATCATTTATTTAATGAGTCAGTTAAACTCAACTAAACATAACTTCAAAATAAAACATAAAAATGAAATGATATGACGACTTTATATTGAAGGGATAGGAATGGAGACATACTTTATAGACTGGTGATTTGAATGCGTTGATAACAATAAGCGTCTTCACAGAGGCTAAGTACAACTCATTTGCAATTACTTACCTCTGGAACGTGCCACGTATTTTAAGTCAAAGATCAGTTTCTTGTTCAACAGTCATACCATTTATATAACTTAATAAGATATACTTACAGGCCAAATACTTTGGTTTCATTCCTTCCAGAATGACTTCCCTAGTTAGCCATCATTATAAAAAAGCCAAAAAATAGCAAAGTAACAGTGAAATATCAGCAAATGAAGAAAATTTGCTTCACACCGAAAAAAGTACATTTAGTAGCTAACCCACACGAAGCTTAATGAGAAAAATGCAGATTCATATCCAAGCAAAATCAGAAAGTTTAAGAAAACATAATTGTAATCCTAAAGATAAGCAACGATAAACCAAATGCTCATTATTACATTGTAGTTGAAGTTCAATTGGCCGGGCAAAATACCAATCACCAGCAAACATTTCAACCATTCATTGCCCAACATATGGCAGGAAGCAATCTCACAAACAAATACTAGCAGACAAGAATAAAGCAAAAGACTCGTACTGACAAAGGAATTCAAACATACATTCAGTCTTCTAAGCCTTTCATTCTCTTCTTCTAAAAGCGAAACTTTAATCTCCAGTTCTTGTGTGTATGCCTGCATATTCAAATATGTACAGCTTTGTATAAAAAATACAAGGAAAAAAAATTAGACTTGACAGCAACAACACCATACAAAAAATAAACTAACCTGTTTTCTAGCCCGGGACCGCGCGGCGGATTCCCTATTTTTAATCATCCTCTTCTGCCTCCTCTCAACAGTTTTCTCAACCACATTACCGGAGGCAACCCTTTTCCTACCTGCTGTTTGTGAATCTGATAAGGCACCCATCAAAGAAGATGGAACTGCTTCGGCGTATCCTGCATCCAGAACCGGATTCACCATAACCGGCATACGCTGTTGAACAGCCATAAAACCTGAAAAACCCGGCATCACACTATTCTGCTGATTTTGATGCTGATGCTGTTGTTGTGGCTGTTGCTGCACTGAAGTGAACTGGTATTGCAGCCAATGAGCATGCTGTGATGTGTTGTGTTGGGAATCAACCCCTGACATGGCCATCGAACTATCCTCATTAGAGAAAGGTTCAGTAGTCACACCAGCCTTCACCAAGAAATCCTCCAGCGTCATCTCACCCAGTGCAGGCTGTCTTTCTCTTTCCTGACTAGCACTCTTCTTCTGCTGCATATCTCTCCAAACCTCATCAATAGTTTTCTTGCTAAGATCCCCACACAATGTTAGGCTCCCTTGAGGATTCAAAGATGACCCAGCAGAAGCCACCTGACCTTGCTGCATGTATGCATCTATTCCAGATTCAGCAGTCCACACACTCTTGAGCAGCTCATCAAGATTCATGCTTCCTAAGGGTTTCCCCAAATTTCCAAGCTGGTTATGCACCTCATCAAGGGTGAGATTGTACAAAGACCCTTGCCTTGTCAAAGACCCACTCTTCGGCTCTTGGACTGCCCCACCTTGAGATCCCATTATCTTAACCCCAAAACCAACCTACAAGTTTACATGTATCATTTCCCAAACATAAATAAAACCCAAATTTAGAATATCCCCCAAGACCCAATTGCAACAAAGAACACCAAAAGTAAAGTGTCTATCCAGTGATTGCTTGTTAAATTCTAAATGAACAAACTTGGCTCCAAATTAGAATCGGTATAAACAAAACACAAGAAAAATATCTTGAATTTTGAGATTTGCTGAGAACAAGAAACAAACACAGAGCAGCAGTGTGAAATAGGGTGGGTGGAAACCGGTCCCAGAAGGAAAAAGAAAAGGTGACCCAGATCAGATATGAAAAGGAACTATAGGAATGGAAGAAAATGATGATGCAGAAGAGACCCACACTTGATGATTGTGCAGAGAAAAAGCTATGAACTAAATAGGCATGTCATGATTTCTGTTACATCACCACCACTACTGTGTTGTGTGTCCTAGAACAAAAGGTCAAAATTGATCCTGCAGGAACCTGAGCGTGGAAAGAAGTATTTTTGGTGTGAAAAAATGGGAGTGTTGAACATTCTCTGAAAGAACATTGCTTATCTGTAGCGAAAGAATGATTAAGGTTTCCCTTCAAAGGGAAAAAGAAGATTTAGAAATGAATAAAGAAATTTTAGAAAGTGCTGAAGGAATAGACTATTCTGACTTGCTAACTTAAAACAAAATCTGAGGGTACTACACATTCAGTCCTTCAACTACTTGCTGCTGCAGGATCCAATCTGAATCTTACAACAACGTGGGCCTTTCTATTTTTTCTTTTACAGTGGGGACAACGACCGCGCCAAGCGAGGAACAATTACTTTCTATTTGGAAAAGATAAATTTTTATAATCAATGCACTATAATAATAGTAATTATTATTATTACTGCAGAATCATGTAGCATAAAATTGTAATATAATACTCTAACATCTACTATTGGAAAAGAACCTATGTTCTCTTCTCTTTCTGTTTCCCCTCTCTAAATAGAAAAGGTTTGATGACGTTTTCTCTTTCTACTTTCTAAACTGTAAAAGTTTAATATGTCAATAGTTGTACTTTCCATGTCTGTCTTCACGGTTTGTTCGGCTAGAACGAGGCTAAAATTTGGGTAAAAATATACTGATATTTAAATCTGAAAAAAATTGTACTAATAATGTTTTATGGAATTATTCTATGATTAAATTATAATATTTGAGAGTCAATTTAACTTTAAATTGTATTTTTTTATAATCAATTTCATATTAAATTATAAAGTTAAAAAATAAATGTATCAAAACATAATTGTTACACTCTTTTATATTAAGATGCAACATCAGTGTTTACTCAAAGAAATTAAAATATTGCATATTTATATATTAAAGTTCGAGGAAGATGAGTTCTCATGTTCAATTAAATACTAAAAAACTGAAGATTTATTATGATATATTTGTAAAGTTTTTTTCTCTTGTTAAAACTCGGAATTTGATATTAATAATCTATGTTACATTAAAAAGAAAAAAATATGTTTAGAGTTGCATTTAAATGTTAAGCTATAACATATGCACTCTAACTCCTGCACGATACTGAATAAAGAAATCTTAATAAATGTGGTTATTTATTTCACAGATTTTGTCTTTTGGACAATAATAACTAATTTAAGTTGTCTTGCAGATGTACTACCTTCCTTACCTTACTTTATGTTGTCTATTTAGAAATGACAATTATTGTTATAAATTTTAAAAAATTAAAATAATATTAATTATTTTTTAATTATATCCTTATTTTACATCATTTCAAAGATTTTATGTTTATATTATAAATAAATAAGAAATTTCATGTAAGAAAAAAATTATATAAATGAATATTATAACAATTTTTTTTTTAAAGAATGACCTAATAAAAATAAATTTATATAATATAATTTGATTTGTAAAATTTTAAAGAAATAACAATGTAAAATAGTGGAAAGGTAAGGAGAGGAAAGATAAAATAAAATTCATTATTTTAAAAAGATTGTAACAAGGCACAACTTTTTGGACATTATTTATTATCAATCAACATTAATCGTAAAGGAAAGGTGAAGACATTCTTTGCTTTATATAAATTTTATCTTTTACCGTAAATAATAAGATTGTCATTTGTTTATGGGAAAAATTAAAACATGATAAGAAAAACGTTGATTATAATATGTTATTATTTATAATATATTTATAAAATATTTTATAATAATTTAAATAATACTTTTTTTAACACTTTTGAGAAGTAACATATAATGAATATTAATAATATATATATATATATATTATAAATATATTTTACTATCTAGAATATTTGTTCCTATAATATTTTTTAATATTTTTTGTTTTTTATAATTAACATTGGTCATAATAATCAATTCATACAACAAAGAAAATAAGATAAGTTAATTATTTAAATAATTATTATTATCAATTATCATAATTATATCTTATCACATAATATTACGTCAAATTCATATATCTATTTTTAGAAGATGAATAATATATTTCAAACTCATACTAATATTTGTGGGTTATATTGAAACTAATATTATACCAAATACTCTCTTACTATTAATATCATTATAGTTTTTCTACTCACAAAGTAAGATTATATTGACAATACTACTTGTCTTGATGAACTTCTATCCTGATCTTAGAACAAGTCATCAATAATACTTTCATTGGTTCCTCACCTCCTGTTACCTTAGTTTACTTAATCGGAATTATTAGTAAAACTTGAGATATCATTAAACCTTTATAAATATAGTAGTCACATTAACACACATTGTATCGAAATTATTAGTAAAACTTGGGATATCATTAAACCTTTATAAATATAGTAGTCACATTAACACACATTGTACCTCTCCAGCTACCCACAACCACACATTTCCGTCTGATTATGGATCACATCCATAGTTTGACTTAGTCTCACACATAAATATTACACAACTAATTATGAGTCACTCTCTTTATTTGACTAAGTCTCAACATATATATTTTAGTGTCAAAAACATATAATTCCACCATATCATCTTGTAATTCGTCATACATATCATTTTATTACCTTGTTGTCATTTGTAATAAATTGGGCCTATTTTAAATAAATTTTCTAATTTCATTTTTTTTAATTTTACTTTTGTTTACTCTTTTGGTAACAACTTTCTTTGTAAATATTCTTTTTGTTTAACTCTTATTTCATTAGATTCCTTATTTTCAAGACTTTAATTTTCATATACAAGTTTTAGAATTAAAAAAAAAAAAAAACAAACAAACTTGTAAGACCTTTCACTTAAGCAAAAATTTAGTCGCATCAATTCTTTTGTCTCTTGCTTAAGCAAAAAATAGGATTTATTACGTTTCAGGTTAAAAATATACAAAAATTACATGATAGGGTCAATTTTAACAAAAATTACTAAAATTTGGTGAAATCGTGCTTGGAAGGTGGTGTTAATCCCTTCTGTGAGTTAGGGGTCATGTCTCATTGATATTAGGAGCTTAGGTATTTCCATGCGAGTGAGAGTAATGACATAAGACAGAAAAATGAAGATTAACAAGTCCGATGAAAATGATTTCAGATTTTGGAAGATGCAGATTAAAGATTATTTATATCAGAAAAAGTTACACCATCCTTTTTCCAAAAATAGACTAGAAATGATGTCTCAAGCATATTAGGAGTTGCTAAATCGACAAGCTTTGTGCATCGTCTGATTAACATTGGCGAAGAATGTTGCCTACAACATCGGCATCAATAAGACAATATATGGTTTGATAAAGGCATTATTAAACATGTATGAGAAGCCATTTGCATCAACACAAGATATTCTTGATTCGTTAGTTAATTAATACAAAGATGCGAGATGGTGCTAGTGTTATAGATCATGTGAATGAATTTAATTCCTTATTATCAGTATTAATTTCAATTGATATTAAATTTGATGATGAAATACAAACTATGTTGTTATCTTCGTTGCCTGATAGTTGGTCAAGAACTGTCATGGTAGTAGTTAATACATTTAGGACTTTGAAGAAATTAAGGATTTAATCCTTAATGAAGATGTTCATAAAAGGAATGTCAGAGAATAAACAAATTTCTTATTAAACACCAAAGGTAAAGGTAGAAAGCCTAGAAGAGAGCAAGACTCTAGGTGTGGTAGATCAAAGTCCAAAAAGCGATGACAGTTCAAACATTACAAAGATATTACTTGTTAGAATTGTTAGCAGAACAGACATTTTAGGAATCTTCTCCTAAAGAAAAGATGCATGACAATATAGTGAATGCATCACAAGAAGACATTGATAAAATGTTTGATATGTTGTGTTGAGAGCAAGTTTGAATCATGGATTCTAGTGCATCTTTCCATACTTCTCCTTGCAAGGATTTGATGAAAAATTTTAAAAGTGAGAATTTTGGCAAAGTGTGTCTAGCAAATGATGCTTTAGACATTATAGACATGGAAGATATAAATCTTAAAACTTCTATTAGTATAGTCTGGACACTAAAGGATCTTAGATATATCTCAGGACTCAAGAGAATGTTAATCTCTGTGGGCATGCTGGATGTTCAAGGATATCAAGTTATATTCGGAGAATATCAGTGAAAGGTGGTGAAGGGTAATATAATTGTTGTTCGTGGTTAGAAGAAAAGAACCCTATAAATGACTTAATTACTTACATAAGAAATAAATTCCATTAGTGATGATGTTGGTCATCATTCGACTTTGTGGCACAAAAAATTTGGTCACATGAGTGAGAAGAGTATAAAGATACTAGTTTCAAAAGGGAAGATTTAAGAATTAAAAAAGGTAGAAGTTGGTTTATGTGAACCATGTGTGTTTGGGAAGCGTAATAGAGTTACTTTTGCTTAGTCAGATCCAAGGTAGAGAAGTTGGAACTTGTTCATACGGATATGTATGGGCCAACATCGGTCTCATCATTGAGAGAATCACGATATTATGTCACCTTCATTAATGATCATACTATAAAGATATGAGTTA